AGTACATGTCCAGGCCCGTCTGAAGTTTGCTAGAGTGCATTTGGATGATCCAGAAGAGGATTGGGAGAATGTCATATGGTCAGATGAAACCAAAATATAACTTTTTGGTAAAAACTCAACTCGTCGTGTTTGGAGGACAAAGAATGCTGAGTTGCATCCAAAGAACACCATACCTACTGTGAAGCATGGGGGTGGAAACATCATGCTTTGGGGCTGTTTTTCTGCAAAGGGACCAGGACGACTGATCCGTGTAAAGGTAAGAATGAATGGGGCCATGTATCGTGAGATTTTGAGTGAAAACCTCCTTCCATCAGCAAGGGCATTGAAGATGAAACGTGGCTGGGTCTTTCAACATGACAATGATCCCAAACACACCGCCCGGGCAACGAAGGAGTGGCTTCGTAAGAAGCATTTCAAGGTCCTGGAATGGCCTAGCCAGTCTCCAGATCTCAACCCCATAGAAAATCTTTGGAGGGAGTTGAAAGTCGGTGTTGCCCAGCGACAGCCCCAAAACATCACTGCTCTAGAGGAGATCTGCATGGAGGAATGGGCCAAAATACCAGCAACAGTGTGTGAAAACCTTGTGAAGACTTACAGAAAACGTTTGACCTGTGTCATTGCCAACAAAGGGTATATAACAAAGTATTGAGAAACTTTTGTTATTGACCAAATACTTATTTTCCACCATAATTTGCAAATAAATTCAGAAAAAATCCTACAATGTGATTTTCTGGATTTTTTTTCTCATTTTGTCTGTCATAGTTGACGTGTACCTATGATGAAAATTACAGGCCTCTCTCATCTTTTTAAGTGGGAGAACTTGCACAATTGGTGGCTGACTAAATACTTTTTCCCCCCACTGTATCCTCAGAGTTCGTACTGCTAACACCCCGGCCATCCTACAATCCAAACTAGATGCCCTCAATCTCACACAAATTATCAACAAACCTACCAGGTACAACCCTAAATCCGTAAACATGGGCACCCTCATAGATATCATCCTGACTAACTTACCCTCTAAATACACCTCCGCTGTCTTCAACCAGGATCTCAGCGATCACTGCCTTATTGCCTGCGTCCGTAACGGGTCCGCGGTCAAACGACCACCCCTCATCACTGTCAAACGCTCCCTAAAACACTTTAGCAAGCAGGCCTTCCTAATTGACCTGGACCAGGTATCCTGGATGGATATCGATCTAATTCCGTCAGTAGAGGATGCCTGGTTGTTCTTTAAAAGTAATTTCCTCTCAATCTTAAATAAACATGCCCCATTCAAAAAATACAGAACTAAAAACAGATATAGCCCCTGGTTCTCCTCAGACTTGACTGCCCTTGACCAGCACAAAAACATCCTGTGGCGTACTGCATTAGCATCGAATAGCCCCCGCGATATGCAACTTTTCAGGGAAGTTAGGAACCAATATACACAAGCAGTTAGGAAAGCAAAGGCTAGCTTTTTCAAACAGAAATTTGCATCCTGTAGCACTAACTCCAAAAAGTTTTGGGACACTGTAAAGTCCATGGAGAATAAGAGCACCTCCTCCCAGCTGCCCACTGCACTGAGGCTAGGAAACACTATCTCACCACCGATATTTCTACAATAATAGAGAATTTCAACAAGCATTTTGCTACGGCTGGCCATGCTTTCCACCTGGCTACCACTACCCGGCCACCAGCTCTGCACCCTCCGCTGCAACTTGCCCATGCCCCCCCCCCGCTTCTCCTTCACACAAATTCAGACAGCTGATGTTCTGAAAGAGCTGCAAAATCTGGACCCCTACAAATCATCTGGGCTAGACAATGTGGACCCTTTCTTTCTAAAACTAGCCACCGAAATTGTCGCAACCCCTACTACTAGCCTGTTCAACCTCTCTTTCGTAACGTCTGAGATCCCCAGAGATTGGATAGCTGCCGCGGTCATCCCCCTCTTCAAAGGGGGTGACCCTCTAGATCCAAACAGTTACAGACCTATATCCATCCTGCCCTGTTGAAAGCCAAGTTAACAAACAGATCACCAACCATTTCGAATCCCAACGTACCTTCTCCGCTATGCAATCCGGTTTCCAAGCTGGTCATGGGTGCACCTCAGCCACGCTCAAGGTCCTAAACGATATTATAACCGCGATCGATAATAGACAGTACTGTGCAGCCGTCTTCATCGACCTGGCTAAGGCTTTCGACTCTGTAAACCACTGCATTCTTATTGGCAGCCTTATTAGCCTTGGTTTCTCAAATGACTGCCTCGCCTGGTTCACCAACTACTTCTCAGATAGAGTTCAATGTGTCAAATCGGAGGGCCTGTTGTCTGGACCTATGGCAGTCTCTATGGGGGTGCCACAGGGTTCAATTCTTGGGCCGACTCTTTTCTCTGTGTATGTCAATGATGTCGCTCTTGCTGCTGGTGACTTTCAGATCCACCTCTACGCAGACGACACCATTTTGTATACATCTGGCCCTTCATTGGACACTGTGTTAACAAACCTCCAAACGAGTTTCAATGCCATACAACACTCCTTCAGTAGCCTCCAACTGCTCTTAAACACTAGTAAAACTAAATGCATGCTCTTCAATCGAACGCTGCTGGCACCCGCCCACCCGACTAGAATCATTACTCTCGACGGGTCTGACCTAGAGTATGTGGACAACTACAAATAACTAGGTGTCTGGTTAGACTGTAAACTCTCCTTCCAGACTCACATTAAGCATCTCCAATCCAAAGTTAAATCTAGAATCGGCTTCCTATTTCGCAACAAAGCCTCCTTCACTCATGCTGCCAAACATGCCCTCGTAAAACTGACTATCCTACCGATCCTTGACTTCGGCGATGTCATTTACAAAATAGCCTCCAACACTCTACTCAGCAAATTGGATGTAGTCTATCACAGTGCCATCCGTTTTGTCACCAAAGCCCCATATACTACCCACCACTGTGACCTGTACGCTCTTGTTGGCTGGTCCTCACTACATATTTGTCGCCAAACCCACTGGCTCCAGGCCATCTATAAATCACTGCTAGGTAAATCCCTGCCTTATCTTAGCTCATTGGTCACCATAGCAACACCCACCCGTAGTATGCGCTCCAGCAGGTATATCTCACTGGTCATCCCCAAAGCCAACACCTCCTTTGGCCGCCATTCCTTCCAGTTCTCTGCTGCCAATGACTGGAACGAATTGCAAAAATCTCTGAAGCTGGAGACTTATCTCCCTCACTAACTTTAAGCATCAGTTGTCAGAGCACCTGTACACAGCCCATCTGAAATTAGCCCACCCAACTACCTCATCCCCATATTGTTATTTATTTTGCTCATTTGCACCCCAGTATCTCTATTTGCACATCATCTCTTGCACATCTATCATTCCAGTGTTAATACTAATTGTAATTATTTTGCACTATGGCCTATTTATTGGCTTACCTCCATAACTTGCTACATTTGCACACACTGTATATATATTTTCTGTTGTATTTTTGACTTTATGTTTTGTTTTACCCCATATGTAACTGTGTTGTTGTTTTTATCGCACTGTTTTGCTTTATCTTGGCCAGGTCGCAGTTGTAAATAAAGGTGAAATAAATAACAATAAAAAGGCTGATCCATAGCCGATGACATCAGTTGTAAATGATGTATGCACTCACTAACTGTAAGTCGCTCTGGATAAGAGCGTCTGCTAAATGACTAAAATGTAAAATGTAAATGTTGTTGTCCGGTGGTCTACACGTGGAGTCCGAAACCGTTAGTACCTTCTAATGACTAGCCCTACATTACGATAATGCAGGACAGACACCTCAGCCGTGTGATTACTGCCTCGTGTTTTTCCTTGTTGACTACTGTAGTATTCAGCCACAGCCCTCCACACGTCTGACACGTGCAGTGAGAGCGAGAGGCATGACAAGAAAGTTACTGGCCAATTAGCATTTAGGGAGTCACTGAATGGTTATATTCTCGACCAATGAGAGCATTTTATACCAAGTGCTAACCAATCATGGCCGAGCACACAGTTCAGCACGTGTAGCGCATGGTTGCAATTCACATGTTGCCCCTCGCTGTACTGAGGACTGAAAGGTAAACTGAATCTGAACAGAGGCAAAGTAGGAAACAGTATTGAGACGTTGAGAACAGAGGACTCTTACAACTATAGCGCGCAATCAACATCAGTGTTTGTCATTGTTTAAAAAAAATACGATATTCTCAGATTTGCAATTGGAGAAGGAAATAGCAGTTATTCCACTAGTTATCAATTTTACTGTTTTATTGAATTGTCTTGGTATCAGCTTCATCCTGAAAGGTAAGAGATATATCGGCTATAGCATACTGTGCCTTGTGTTTTTCTTTAGAGATGTGTTTCCCCAGTCCTACTTTAACTCGCATTGAACTGTCAAACGTGCGCTGTTGGTTACAATAATTAAGCAAAAAGTCTAATCATTATTGGTTGTGCCTGAAGTATGCGCTGGTTCAGGATCAGCTTTCCCAGCTCTAGCCCAAACCTTTTCTGTGATTAACGCCTCAAACCGACCTGAAATCAGTTTATGGTTTTAGTTATCTCTATGTATGTAATCTATATATTATGTAAGAGCTTAATATAGTATAGACTAATTGAAAGAAAAAGCATAGGGAATTTATGAGACGCGTTCAATGAACATTGACAACTTTATAATGCGTGAAACAATGTAGTGTATAATGCAGCCTCTGTCCTTTTGTTTCAGTATAGTTTGACGTTACAATGGTCAGATGTTTGAGATGTAAATAATAGCTGACATAAAATCCTAGAGCGATACAGCCAAATCCCACTGGACATTGTGCTTAACACAGCACACGATCACATGTATAGATAGCAACGCAACAGCTCGTGGAGTTTGTACCAACATCAGTGACTAGCAGCATTCCTTCTTGAATATTTATTAGGGGACACGCCTACTAGTATTCTGGAACAATTTGAGTTTTTTATTTGTTATAGTTTATTTATTTTTTCGTTTTTTAAATTTTAATTGTGATATAGATATGTCTATGACTGTCATTTTGTTAAAGGGGGGTTTACTACATGCAGCACTTGTTCTAATGTCTAGGTCACCATTAACTCTACATCAGTTACTCTGAGGTATGTCTGATTGTAATATTCCTTGTGACTGACCTGGTCTGTTCTCTCTCTCTCTCCAGGGATGCATTTGTTGAGCATGTCCACCAAATGGCCGTCCTATGACTCCCGCTCCTCCACCCCCAGCTTCCTCCTCAGCGAGAGCGACGTGACGGAGGACGAGGCAGACATCGATGTCTTCACCTCCGAAAGCGAGGGAGATAGTTCAGGGGGTGGCAAGACCTGCTCAGTACCCTTCTCCCTGGCTGGGGGTGGCGAGGCAGCCCCTAGGTTACACTGGTCCATGGCTAGGAGTGGACAAGCGGAATGCTTTCCCCACACCACCATCTACCCATCCATGGTGGCTTCCCCTGGCAGTGCTGCATTAAGCACAAAGGAAAGCACAGAGGAGACCATGCAAGGAGACCTGGCCTTTGCTCAGAAAGTGAGTTTTGTTTTTTAAAGATTGATTTTAACATACTTTGCTACTGATTTCCGAACCCAGGTACATTATCAGACAGTAGATATTGATGTTTTCTGTTTCCCTTCTCTCTCCTAGTGTTCAGAGCTGCAAAAGTTTATCAAACCTCTGTTGGAGCTTCTGAATGGACTCAAGACGGGGAGATTTGAGAGAGGTCTTAGCAATTTCCAGTCAAGCATTGCCATTGACAGACTCCAGAGGATCCTGGGTATTCTTCAGAAACCTGACATGGGGTAAGCAAACCATCTTGTGTATAGCTAGCAAGCAAACAGTAACTTATGGTGTAGTTACACATTTACTTTAAATGTTTCATGTCGTAACATGTTATTAATGACAGTACTCCTCTTTTTCCACAGAGAAAAATTCCTCCGCACCCTCCTGCAGGTAGAGATGATGCTGAAGATGTGGTTCCCCCATGTGACCCCTGTCGCTGCCACCCAGAACCCCACACCCAGTCTTCCTCCACGATGGCACCAAAATCAGCTGTGTATGCCAGTCAAGGTGGGTCTCTTACTGCTCTACCTATCACTGTTTCATATGTAATTGTCATAATGATTCCCACAGCAATCTATAATATGTAAGACTTGTATCTAATTTATGTTTTTCTTCACTCTTGCTCCATCAGAAGCGCAAGCTTAGCTGGTTGGACTCTGATTTCCCCAGTGCCGCCCCACCCAGCTGTAAGTGCATGCAGTACGAGGACAACTACCAGGAAGTGACCTCACGAGACTCTAGCCCTTTGAGCACAGACACCTATAACCCGTCACGTCTGACTGTCAGCAGGAAAAGAAAGGGAAATAAGAGGCTTGACATTTCCCCTTGCTCTGCATGTGGCAGCCAAGCCACACAAGACAGCCGTGTCTCCTCCACCCTCCTGGTCTTTCACTCACATCAGCTCTCCCTCCATGGACATCAGCCACGGAGATGCCACAGCGGGCCTGGCACAGTGAAGACACAGACAGATATTACATCAGTGGGAATCCAAAGGAGGAGTCAGTCTATCCCCACATTACTAAGGTCTATGAAACAAGAGCTGGAGTGGAGCACAGGCACATAAAAGTGGACATAAAACTGAACTCTGAACTCATTGCACATTTTGACCATCTTTCATCCACTTTTGTCTGTGTTAATTTTTTTTAACTGACATTTACCTGGGAATATTTTTTTAAATGGTTGATATGATAAGGCAGTGTTTATAATGATTAATTTGTATTTTATTTGAGACTTATCAACAAAAATAGACATGCAGTCCAATCACATGAAATACACTATGCAGAAATATTAAAAGAAAATAACATGGCTCAAGATTGATGGAATACCTCTAACCTAACATCAACTCACAGTTATGATAAAGTTATCAATAGTAGTAAAGCTTAAAACATGGACAATACAATGAAAAGCAATACAAGAACCTGTTAATCCTTTAGCTGATGCAGCACAGGGAACTGTGAAAAAGGCAGCTGAATGTATATGGCTTGCTATACCACTTCATTGATTGTAAACCACTGCCAACAAGTGGCAACAAAACCATTGCTTTATTACACACAGTTTAATGTATCTTGACTAAATCCACCTCTGTAAATACTAACTACCCCAATAGCATACAACTGGAATGACATCAACCATTAAGAACTACAAGAGAAGAGAAATAACAACTGTTAGATTTACGGTATTACTCATAAAATAGGTCTGTTTGAAAGGGTCTGTTCTTGAAAACCCTGGATGCAGACTAGAGCCAGGGATTCCCTATTACATTCTAATTGGCTTAATGCTTTATAACTTTATTTATTTTATACTATACATTTATCATCCTTTACTGTTTGATACATTTGATGTCAGGTTTTTTCTTCTATGGTGTGAAAAGAAAAATATTTTGAGTAATACGTCATTGCCCAAAAACTATTTGCACATGAGTATTTTACATTCTATAACAAAGGAAATTGCACATTATTGATCAATGTTACTATTGTGACGACGCAAAACACCTCATTTTGAATCTTCTAGGAGGGTTTCTATTGGATTGGGAGAAAATCCGTAAAAATCTTTCATTGGGTATTTGAACTACAATGTTTTTGCTTAGCAAATATCATTCATGTTGAATGACACTTTATCCCTAGCCACTTTCAGAGATTCTAGATGGGAGTAGCCAGGAAACCAATAATAGCTGGATACTGACTTGATCTACCGACTTAAATAACATTTTGGGCAAGAAACGAATACAGGACAACTGAAACGTCACATGATTACCATACTGGTAGTATGTGTTATTGATCCTAACCATGCCAGGGAAGGCCCAGGTCGAGGACAGCATAGGAGAGAGATCACTGCAGCAGTAAATACAGTTAACTGTTGAGGCAATGCACAACCCTTCCTAAAAGCTGGTCAATCGCTTCTCAGCCGATTGTGGAGTTGTTTATTTAGATATTTCCCTTAAGGAAATATTGCAATTTCATGTGATGTTTTTGGTGTATGTAGCCTAATACTCCTGCTTAATTAATAGTGTCCCATGTGGCTCAGTTGGTAGAGCATGGCTCTTGCATCGCCTTGAGAAGCGTGTCTGCTAAATGACTAAAATGTTTAAAATATATATATAAATAAAATGTACATTTCCAAACAAAATAGGGTGTATGTTTTGCACTTTTCTCTGTTTATCAAAATAGGACAAATGGTTAGGCTGAGAAGGATACTTCACTGTTTTATATTATCTTCCTTTATTCAAGTCATTTCCTTTGCCTCCTTCCTACCTTTTACCCAACACCCTCCATCACATTTTTGGGTTGGACATAATTTTGTTTTGGTTACACACAATGTACTTGTGCTTCATATTTTATATATAATTGTTTGAGACCTACATTGTTTTTGATCAATGGTACCCTTTTTGCTCAAATAAAGTAACTCTTTGGTTCATCAGAACTTGATGTCTGCCATATACATTCTAATTATTTCCCTGAACATCTGAGCTGATGTAAAATTTACTGTGTCCCTGCTACATGAGAGTTCAGGTAGGCCTCCGCGCTAGAGCAAGAAAGTAGAAGGGGTGCTCGACAACAATGACAAAAATCCAACAAAATGGCTTCCCAAGAAAAACTTCCAAAAGGACTACCGGTAATTTGAGGCAGAAAGGAGTCAACACTCAACAAAAAAGGCAGAGATACATGTCTTATTTGCTCAAGCTTTATTTCATTGTTAGGATGAGTACAGTTGACTGATGTCAAGCTGTCAGTCACCTGTACTCGTCCTACTTCTTTCAGAGGAAGACGTCAGTTTGGCGTTGAAACGTCAGTCACCTGTACTCGTCTTAACAAAGGATTAAAGCAGCAATCTGCAGATGCTACATTTATTTTGGGATTTATAAATTAATGATATATACCCATTGATTCTTGAACAATATAACTTTTAAATGCCTCATGGGCTTAGTTCAATTGTTACACCCCATCAAAACATAAAATATAAGCTTGTTTTAATCCAATGATTTCTCCAATGTTTACTCCAATGTTTGTACGCCAGTATATTACTCCAGTATATTGTGGATAGGCCCTTTAAAGCCTGAGCAAATCTATAGTATCCAGCTGCAGTCCCGCACCATGGCTTGTCACTAAAACTGGCCTGTCACTATAAGTGTCTTTTCACTAAAAACCTATACTATTAACTATCCTAGCTTCTTTTCCTTATCTCCTTTCCTAGCTCATTTTCTTTCCTCCTTTCCTAGCTATTTTCCTTTCATCCTTTCTTAGCTTACTTTCCTTGGTCCCTTTTCTTCTTTCCTTTCCTAGCTCCCTTTTCTCCTTTCCTAGCCCCCTTTCCTCCTTTCCTACATCCCATCCCTTATCTCCACTCCGTTCTAGATCCCTTTCCTCCTTTCCTAGCTTCCTTTCCTCTTCTCCTAGCCCCCTTTCATCTTTCCTTTCGTAGTTCCCTTTCCTACTTTCATTTAATTTCCTCCTTTCCTAGTTCCCTTTCCTCATTCCTTTCCTAGCTCCCTTTCCTTTCCTCGTTTTCTAGCTCCCTTATCTTTCCTCCTTTCCTAGTTTCCTTTCCTCCTTTCCTAGCTCCCTTTACTTCTTTCCTTTCCTAGGTTTCTGATTTGATTTGATTTTAAATACAATACAACCACACGTGGATACAGTACAATGCCATTAAAATCATCGACGATGACACAAAAACTTGTATTTCCATTGTGGTCCTCTTGAAAATACACAAGACTATAACATAAAAACAAAATAATAAAGAGAGAAAAAGAGCTAGGAAAAGAGGAAAGGAAGCTAGTAATGGAAGAAGTAAAAGGGAGTTGGGAAAGGATATGCGGGAAGGGAGCTAGGAAAGTAAAGGAGGGGAGGAAAGGAAGGAAAGGGATCAAGGTAAGAATGCTAGGAAAGAAGGAAAATACATTAAGAAAAGGAGGAAAGGAAGATAGGAAAGGAAAAAATTAAGCTAGGATAGGCGGAAAGGAAAGGGAGTTAGGAAAGGAGGAAAGGGAGCTAGGAATGCAAAGAAGGGGAGGAAAGGAAGCTAGGAAAGAAGGAAAGGAAGATAGGAAAAGCGGAAAGGAAAGTGAGCTAGGAAAGGATGGGAGGAAAGCAAATGAGGGGAGGAAAAAGTAAAGGGGTAAGAAACGGGAGATAGGAAAGAAGGAAATAAAAGGAAGCTAAGAAAGGAGGAAAAGAAAGGGAGTGTACAAAAGATTATAGCCTTTTCTCATTTGGGCAAAAGTCCGTCCTCCACCCTCTCTCCTCCGTCCTCTCTCTCCTTGGTGACCTAGCATATTATAAACACGAGGTGCCCCCCCCCCAGATAGCATTTGAACACATCAGTTGAGGCCCCTCCAGATAGCACATGGCAAAATGTGTAGAATAGCATGAGATTAGCTACAAAACTGCAAATGTTTCTGTCTGTCCATGGCAAATTTGTAGAATTGCAGGAAGTTAGCTGTTTTCCGGGTGGGGGGGGGGGGGGGGGGGGGCTGAAGGTAGGTTCCCTGGGGCCCCAGCTGTGCTAGTCCGGCCATGTGGAGAAGGAGAGTCTAATTTCATAGAATAGTGCCCTTGTACTGTCTTTTTACAGGGTCTGAAACCTAGGCCCATAGGCAAAATGACCATCACCAAGCCCACCAAAAACGCATGGCAGAAGAAGGGATTAGGTGAGTATTCCCTAATAGCCAGTATAGTAGGTAGTAGCTGGTCATGTCCAATTACACTTTGACTATATAACATTTCAGGTGCTTTCAAGTACATTGTTTAGATTGGCTAACCACAGTGGCTGCTTTGCTTTGCAGAAGTACACTCTACAGCGGCCTTCTTGGACCTCTCCCTGACCTCTCAGTTCTCCAGATAGAAGAGGCATACAAGAACTTTGACTCTCTATCCAAGCCATTGATCTGCAGCATGGGGATGTCTGCTGAAAAGCTTTTAGTCGACTCCCACTTTGGAAAGGTACAGGTGGGGAGCCTCCTGTCTTACCAGCAGCCTCCAATCACATCGCAACACATAGTTCACCATAAGGAGACACCACCATTCCCTTCACTGCCCCTGGATGGCTACAGACTGGAGAGCAACTTTCAAGGCTGCACATTTGAGCTCAGTGAAGAAGACCAGCTTCACATAGTCTCTTCAGGTGAGCTTCGCAACAGCCCATAAAATAGAGGAAGCTACTAGAGAACAGAGTGCTGTCTCCGACTGGCAGGTGCTCCGGAAACCAAGACTGAACTCGTCATGGTTCCGAGAGTCTTGCCATGTGAGAGGGCTGACATCCGCAGGCAATGTAGCTGAAAGGATCCTCAAAGGCACAGCACCAACAGCTGACATGAAGAGGGGACTGGAGTTGGAGATGGAGATGGAAGCAGCCAGTGGCCTCATCATACATCCTGACGTCCCTTGGCTTGCCTCTTCTCCTGATGGCCTGGTGTACAACCCTCTCGAGCATCCACCTTTTGGCCTAGTTGAGATTAAGAACCCGAACGTAAAGGGTTTTGTGGATTGTAAGTACATTCACATGCACAACGGTGAACCTTCCCCAAAGAGGCAGCATACATCACTGGGTTGGAGTGGTGTGACTTTGTTGTCTGTGCACATGACGACATTCTGGTCGAGAGAATACATAGAGACCCAGTGGTGTTCTCACTAATTAGAGAGAAGGGTGACTGGTACTACTTACAGTACCTTGCAAAAGTATTCATCCCCTTGGCGTTTTTCCTATTTTGTTGCATTACAACCTGTAATTTAAATTGATTTTTATTTGGATTTCATGTAATGGACATACACAAAATAGTCCAAATTGGTGAAGTGAAATGAAAAAAATAACTTATTTCAAAAAATTCTAAAAAAATAAATTACGGAAAAGTGGTGCCTGCATATGTATTCACCCCCTTTGCTATGAAGCCCCTAAATAAGATCTGGTGCAACCAATTACCTTCAGAAGTCACATAATTAGTTAAATAAAGTCCACCTGTGTGCAATCTAAGTGTCACATGATCTGTCACATGATCTCAGTATATATACGCCTGTTCTGAAAGGCCCCAAAGTCTGCAACACCACTAAGCAAGGGGCACCACCAAGCAAGTGGCACCATGAAGACCAAGGAGCTCTCCAAACAGGTCAGGGACAAAGTTGTGGAGAAGTACAGATCAGGGTTGGGTTATAAAAAAATATCTGAAACTTTGAACATCCCACGGAGCACCATTAAATCCATTATTAAAAAATTGAAAGAATATGGCACCACAACAAACCTTCCAAGAGAGGGCCGCCCACCAAAACTCACAGACCAGGCAAGGAGGGCATTAATCCGAGAGGCAACAAAGAGACCAAAGATAACCCTGAAGGAGCTGCAAGGCTCCACAGCGGAGATTGGAGTATCTGTCCATAGGACCACTTTAAGCCGTACACTCCACAGAGCTGGGCTTTACGGAAGAGTGGCCAGAAAAAAGCCATTGATTTTAAAAAAAAATAAGGAAACACGTTCGCCAAAAGGCATGTGGGAGACTCCCCAAACATATGGAAGAAGGTACTCTGGTCAGATGAGACTAAAATTGAGCTTTTTGGCCATCAAGGAAAACGCTATGTCTGGCGCAAACCCAACACCTCTCATCACCCCGAGAACACCATCCCCACAGTGAAGCATGGTGGTGGCAGCGTCATGCTGTGGGGATGTTTTTCATCGGCAGGGACTGGGAAACTGGTCAGAATTGAAGGAATGATTGATGCCGCTAAATACAGGGAAATTCATGAGGGAAACCTGTTTCAGTCTTCCAGAGATTTGAAGAAGAAGAAGAAGGGAGTGCACTGCTAACAGCTCGTAAATGGCGTCCCTTGAGAAAGCAAGAAACAGATGTGTGTCAGGAGAAGTGAGTGACTCTAAGGATCTCCTTTATTCTATAGAGATTGTTAACTCTGTTAGTGAAGAATTCAATCGGTCTTGTTGTGAAGATTTATCCATTATGGACATCCAATATGGGGTTGCTCAATAAAAAAATAACAAGTCTCCAGGTTGTGATGGATTAACCTCTGAATTTTACAAAACCTTCTCTGAAGAAATAGCACAATTCTTACTTGAAACCTTTAAAGAGGCAATAAAGAAGGGAGAACTACTTGTCTCTCTGAAACAAGGGGTTATTACTCTTATACCTAAACCACAAAAGGATCTCTTAATTATTGATAATTGGCGTCCAATCACACTCCTAAATAACGACTACAAAATTATAGCCTCAATCTTTGCGAAAAGGTTAAAGTTGTGCTTGAATGATCTGATTGATGAATGTCAATCTGGGTTTATGAAAGGGCGCCATATATCTAATAATGTGAGGCTGGTGTTAGATTTGGTTGAGTATTGTGATCTATTGGATGACTCCCCTGTTATCTTATTTTTGGATTTTCAGAAAGCATTTGATAACGTAAATCACAATTGTATCTTTGATCATCAAATACATTAGAAGTTTGGTAATTTTTTTGTTGATGCTATTAGAACTCTGTATAATGGTAGCAATAGCTGTATCAAACTCTGTCATGGAACATCCTCAAGGTTTAACATTTATAAAGGAATACGACAAGGTTGTCCAATCTCACCTTTTTTATATTTGTTAGTTTCTCAAACCTTATGCTCATTAGTTTATCAAAGTCAATTTGAAGGCATTACATTCCAGGCCAGAGAGATCAATATATCCCAACTGGTGGATGACACCTCACTTAAAAAAAAAAAATGTGTCACAAGTTAGATTAGCATTGGATATTGTGAAGCAGTTCTCCAAAATCTGAGGTTTGGTATTAAATATTTCCAAATGTGAGATGTTTGTTCTGAAAGGAGCTGTCAATCCAGCAGATTGTAACATCTCTGAAAAAGTGGGCGTTGCTACGTTGTGCAAAAGGTCTATACCCCCTGGCTGTTCTGTTTTTTGTGTTTTACATGTAACTGTTAAATAAATAAATTTAAAAATAATAATAATAATAACAACAACAACAAAAACAATGTATCGGGAAGGAAGTTGAGCGGAAGAGGGCGTTGCTACATTGTGCAAAAGGTCTAGTCCCCCTTCCACTTTAAAAAAGAACTTTGGCAAAGGGTAAAGTCAACAACACGCAGTCCCGCTCTGTTTGTTACAGATTATAGTTTTGGAAACAGAAAACTGTATGGAGATGAAATGTTTCATCGATGACAAAATTAGCAGAATTTCGGCCAAAATCAATCTCGTGCCATCTTCTCCCACTGCCGGACACTGGGTTTCCTCTCATCACCATATTTGGTAGTGAGTGGAACGACGCCAACTGGATGCTTCACATTTATACATCCGCTGAAATATCTGCCTCATTGTTTTATCTGTGGCTTGGCAGTGCAAGGCCTGGAAGATGGCTGCAGGATCAGGCGCGTCAAGCGGCCAAAGTCGTGGTTCGTCTGTGGCCCTGGAGTCAACTTTGGACCGACGGTTTCAAGGAGTGTCAAACACAATGGAATCAATTCAAGGACTATCAAATTGGTGCATTGAGAACAAGAAATACCACAGCCTTATCGTGCGTTACTGGATGAAATGGTTGAGGAAATGTGAGTTGCTAATGTTAGCTAGCTAACGTTAGCTGGTTTGCCTGGCTTCTTAGCGCTCGTTGCCTTGCTAGGTTAGTTAACTTTAGCTAGGTAACTGTTAGGTAGCTACTTATGTTAACGTGTGCATCTATGGTTAGCGAATGTTAACAATATATAATTAGCTAGTTCGTGACATCGGTGAACATCACAGGAATGTCATGTGAAACTAAATAATGTAATTTATCTTGTAGTTAGAGTAATTATAGCTAGCTTGTTAGTTAACGTTAACTAACGCGGGACTGCGCATATGGAGCTAGTTAGCGAACTTGTTAGCAAGTTAGCTAATGCTGCCTTGTTAACTAGGACTTGGAGTTTCAGCCAGATAATGCTATCACTACTAGTTGTTGATGTCTAGCAAATGTTTGTTATAACGTGTCTGGTCAGTTGTTGACAAACAATGGCGTTAGTGAGCGATTATTCTCCGCATAGAAGTAACGTTAGTGTAAAGTTGTTAGCTAACGCGTTAGCTATTCTCCTGTTCAGACTATTACATTCCTTGAAGCCATTGCCATCCATGGTTTAACACCCTAAATCAGTTTGACGTAGTAGTGTCCAAAACAGGAACATAATCGAGATACATGTTAACTAACTAGAGAAATAGCTAACTAGTTAGTAACTTTTCTAAACATGTAGGCTGTTATTGAACTTATTGTTACTGTAACTTACTGTTAACTACATAGTAGTTATTGCACACAAAAAATAGGAACTACCTCATTTTTGGCGCTTCAGTTGTAGGCCTATAGGGAGTGTATAATGATTGTGTACGATAATGCCGAGAATTGAAGATGCATGAATGTATTGTGTTCAGTTCTCCCGGAGACCGGAAACATGCTGTGCTGCTCTCCTCTACTTTTTTGTTAGTGACAGTGAAGCTTTGGTAGTCCATATTGATAATGTCATTTACATTACATTTACATTTTAGTCATTATGTGTTGTGTTTTAGAAACCGTATGTGATTTATTTTTTACGAGTGTAGTACTAGTAAAGTATGCCGAACTGTAAATTACTGTTTGATGCTGCTCATATTTAGTCTTTAAAGCGGCAATCAGCAGTTGAAACAATAGTAACCACTCTCAAATTCATAGACAAAGCTATGGATGCAAGGACTGACCATCCATAATATCTAAATTATTGTTTCAACCATGTTTTGAAGATATATAGCTTGTTTATGGCCTCCCGAGTGGCACACTGGTCTAAGGCACTGCATTGCAGTGCTAGCTGTGCCACTAGAGATCCTGGTTCGAATCCAGGCTCTGTAGTAGCCGGCCGCGACCGGGAGACCCATGGGGCGGCGCACAATTGGCCCAGCGTCGTCCAGGGTAGGGGAGGGAATGGCTGGCAGGGATGTAGCTCAGTTGGTAGAGCATGGTGTTTGTAACGCCAGGGTTGTGGGTTCGATTCCCACGGGGGGTATGAAAATAAAAAATAATAATAATGTATGCACTCACTACCTGTAAGTCGCTCTGGATAAGAGCGTCTGCTAAATGACAAAAAAGTAAAAAGTTTACATTTACAAACATTGGAGCTTATATTTTGGGTTGTAATGGGGTATGACAGTTGAACTAAGCCCATGGGGCATTTTATAGGTTATATTATTCAAGAATCAATGGGTAGGCATACATATCATGAATTTATGTCCCAAAATGGATGTAGCTTTTTAAGGTCATTTGTGAGTGAAAAATTATTTGATTGTGTTGCGAGAGAGGGGATTGTGAGCGTGAAGAAAGTACTGCTTGTGAAAGCCTGGGGGGGGTGAACGATTACACCTCATAATATTGAAACATGATGATGATGGTGGTTGTGAAGGATCCAATGGATGGATTGGTTCATTGTGCTTAATATTCGTCCACATTACTGTACCTCGGTCAATGCTTTTATGCTTTTTATTAATTCACAGGACTACACATGCACTGTATTCAAGCATCACTCAAATTCAATGATTGAATATTAAGTCAGGCGGCAGGCCCTGTGTTTGCAGTGCCAGGTGTGAACAGCAGTCCCTCCCTGACATTCATTGCTGTGTTATAGCCTAATTAGGCTTATTCTGTGTGCGTTGTTGTAAGACAAATGCTGATAGAACCTGAATCAACAGTGATGTGCTTTTATTACTCTGAGCGATTATTCATAGGCTACACTGAAGGGCCAAGCCACAGCCGAGATGTGCTAAAGGTGTATTGCCATGCAACTTGGTGAAGTGGTCCTTTTGCATGCCTTTATGGACCTAGTTTAGGAACAAGTGATTGTTCTCTCACTCTAATGCGTAGCCTGCTAATTACACCTGTTGGTTTATACCTATTGCCTGAGGAAGAAGACAATGTTGGGTTGGTATGCCTGGTCTTACTTGTTACTACAGCAGGGAATCAAATCTGTTCACCCAGGCTTAGATGAGTACCAGGAAGTTGTTGTGATTGCCTTGGAGCATCCTCTGTAGCTCAGTTGGTAGAGCATGGCGCTTGTAACGCCAGGGTAGTGGGTTCGATCCCCGGGACCACCCATATGTAAAAATGTATGCACACATGACTGTAAGTCGCTTTGGATAAAAGCGTCTGCTAAATGGCTTATTATTATTATTGGAGGCGGAGCTCTGAGTTTTTCAGTAAACATTTACATTTTTACATTTTAGTCATTTAGCAGACACTCTTATCCAGAGCGACATACTTAGTGAGTGCATACATTTTTCAAACATGACTGTTTGCTGTTGCTCCTGCCTTTCAGCACCATAAGCTGATGTAGGCAATGCTTAAAAATGGTATGATGTAGGCCTAAAATATCTACTCTTAAAGGGCGAGTTTGTTTTGCATGGACCGGTGCCCTGGGTTGGTGGAGATTTCACTTAAGCCCCGTTTCCATTGGCACGTTGAAGTCAACCCAGGTTGGGCTGGCCTTGGTGGGCTAGCTCAAATTGCGTTTCCGCTGCCTCCAGATAATTAGAAATTATGTCATGTTGCTAGGTAGCCAATATGTGACTGCAGCAAGCCTCACCATACTGTAACTAACATTACCTCATACTCCTGCCAGTGCCAGCCAGACTCAGAGCCATGTATTTAGCTTGCTGACGTTAGCTAGCTAGCTAAATGGTTAGCGTCGTCGCTAGCATAACCTGTTAGCTAGCTTAATTCCTACCTTGCTTGCAATGACATTGGCTATTAGCGATCTAGCTAACCAAGCAAACCAGACGACAGGTTTGATATGATGTAGCTAGCTAGCTTTAAATACGACCTGGCAAGCTAAAATTAATGCTGCTAGCTCACGTTAGCTAGCTAGCTAGCTAGCTTGTTTTAACTCTGATTTGCTAGCTAATGTTAGGTAGCTAGCTAGCATTCGAGGGCTGCCTGTTCTCATAAAAGTTTGTGTCAGCATCCAGCAGTGATCAGCTTGGTGGTTGCATAGTAACGGGGTCACCAGCCCAAATTCTAATCAGTTGTGAAATTGGGAAGCGCTCGAGTTTGGCCCTCATTTTAAGTGGCAGTTGAAATTGGGCTTTAGTGTCTGCTAGGACTGGGTGATGTTGCCTACAAATCCTACCTAGATTTTTTTTTTCAAATTTATGGGCGATTCACGATATGTCTAAAAAGTGTTTTAAAAAGTTTTCTCTAAATAAGCGTTGTATAATTAAAGGTCAAATACACTGCATTTCAAAAAGTCAGCAATAATCTAATTCAGGGCTTGTGAAGTTATACCAAGGATAAATATAAGCCTTCCACAACCAAAATACCCACTAATAATTGTATTATTTTATCAAAATAGTTTACCCTGCTTTTTTTTGCAGTAATCACTGATCTGGAAAATGCAATTTTCTGTTACAAATGTAACTAGAACCATGCATAATGCACATTCACTAATAATGACTAACTTCTTGTAGCAGGCATAAGGCTATAGAAAATTCATCAACAATCTCAAGCCCACGTGCTAGTGATTAGCCAGCTAATCTTTTATATTTCACGTTTAGCCAACTTGGATCTATTTGCTAGCTAACAAGGTTGAACAGTTTAATTGTTATGAACACACGCTTCTGTCTGTTACCTTATTTCTCAGAATGAAAACGGGTTTCCAACTCCTTATATAATTGTGTTGTATGCTTATTGCACATTTATAAAACACAGACTAGACAGCTAGTATAACAGTCTTTGGCTACAAACTGAGCATTCATTTTCCAGAATCAATGTTCATTGATACTCTTGTTTTAGTAGTGTCTGCTCTGCACGCAATTTGAGTAGTTGAGACATAAAAAGGGTATCGTTAGAAAAGTTAACTCCTCTATTACAGTCAAATAATGTCTCAATGTGTTGGACCAAACCTCAAATACAAATAGAGAGTTGAAACCGCTTGTCAGAGTGGAAGATGTGATCTCAACTTTGTTGGCGTGAGAGGCAGGGGCAGGGGCTTGCTGAGTGTGTAAACCATAGAGGTTTACACACACTAAAATATGTCCAAAATAAACCCAATGCGTTTCTATGGGCTTATTTTGGATGTAAGCTTGTCGCTTGGCTTTCCGACATTGGGTCAATGACTGTTTCTCATTGTTAGGGCGGAGAGGTGCATCTCGTCATTATATACAGATATCTGGTGTAAATGGGAAGGTGCACACAGCACAGAGGAGCGAAGGAGACGAGACCAAAAATGCAACAGGAGAACAAGTGGAAATAAACGCTCATAAAAACGAAAAATAACAAAACATAGATTCTTGCGATACATGCATTTGGAATATCGAGAAAAAACATAAATTCGAATTCATTTGATACATTGCCCAGCCCTAGTGTCTGCCTTTTATGGTGTGACAGAATAACCGTGTTGATGATGTAGGCTAATAGGGGTTAACTGCCTACCTCTTTAGCCTATATGCCATCAGAACACCCGTGTTGATGATCTTATAGTGGCTTAGTGCCTTGCCTGGCTTTATGTGACATCAGAATAATAATAATAATAATATGCCATTTAGCAGACGCTTTTATCCAAAGCGACTTACAGTCATGCGTGCATACATTTTTGTGTATGGGTGGTCCCGGGGATCGAACCCACTACCTTGGCGTTACAAGCGCCGTGCTCTACCAGTTGAGCTACAGAGGACCACGAATAACAGTGTTGATGATGTCATAGTGGCTAATAGGGCTGGGAATTGCCAGGGACCTCACGATACAATATTATCATGATACTTAGGTGCAACTCAATGTTTTGTACACTCAATGTATGTCTGCTGCAGAGAGACGAGAGAGAGCATTGTTTGATGCCACAACCCATTCGAGATGCACCGTTTCAGTTTCAATGACTCAATATTTAGAACGAAAACGGATGACTAACTAAGGCTGGGAATGGCTGGCAAAAAAAACAAAAACATTTTAAGTCGAAATGTTACAACATAGCTACGTTTTTGTTATTTGGAGTTATTAAATACTTTTTGATTAGGGTCGCAGCATATTATGCATAGCAGCAAAGGCTGGATAAATATTATTTATCTCTTTTGTTTTAATATGTTAAAATGCTATATACAGCATCCTAAATGGACATTATAAAGTGCAATATTTTTTAATAATAAAACAACAGCCAGTTTGGGTCATAGTTGCATGTTTTTTTTTGTAAAACAAATAGGCTCTGTCTGGCCCGCGAATTCGTTTTTTCAATATGGTCCGTGCGCTGATTTGAGTTTGACACCCCTGGGCTAGCGTATCTATTTATGTGGCTATTTATTTAGCAAGCTAAAAACACTGAGCCTAACGTTAGCTAGCTAGCTGCTGGGAGAATGTCATGCGATTTGGAAGAGTGGGTGAGTGACCAACTTTTCCCCCTCATATCATTTTTCGTTGGCTACAGCAAGAGATGCTGCAGGTGTCGTTTGGTTAACTGGCAAGACATGTAAATTGCTTCGCTAGCTAACCAGCTCGCTATGCTGAAAGTGAACAACTGTTATCCACAGTTAGCATGTCTCTTAGTTGTCAATTAAATGTATTTGGCATCGATCAAGTGGGCGGGCAGGCAAGTTCCCATTGTTGTCAAAACTTGGGTTGGGCCAAGCATGCATTGGTGGGCAAGCTGCAGAAGGACTAGCAGGCTACTATCCCCCATTTATCAGTGCAATTTTGACAACCAACTAGTTGAACATTTTTGAGAGGGTTTATCTAATGTTCCGTCGTTATATTTGAGCTCATCTTGCTCTGGCTAGCATTAGTTGTTGATCTTGTTGTTAATGTGCATAGGCAACTGATGGCGAGATAGCCTACCTTTTCATGGTGGTTTGTTCAATAAATAGGATTTTGAAGTTCCCAAATGTAAGACTCCCGTGGTATTTACATATTTGCAGAAATCCAGTCAGGTGTATTTTGTGGCTTTTGGCGAATGCGTTCTAATGATCTAAAGTCGCGCTGTTGCTACAGCCTGTTAACACACAGTCCAGTTCAAAGTGAATGATGGCTGGCCCATGTGGCAAATGGCTCATTTGCGTATAGGCCTACTGTAGCTCTGATTGGCTATGGCGCACCGGTTTGGGTAGACTGCGATTCTGAACGGGACAGATGTTTTTGTTCGGTTTTATTTACTTCTGTGTCTATTAATTGTCCAAACGCACGGCTGCTTTCCCACTCTATATTGCTATAGAATTTTCACAAAAGCCTTACTATACATAATTACCAAACATTCTATTAATTTATGAAAACTTGAAAATCACTATCTAATTGCTCGCTTGTCAGAAGATGTAAGAAAGGTGTCATATTCTTCCTGGGGGTTTATATGAACAGATTTCATGTTGCTAAAATGCTGTCAGTTCCACTTTAACATGATCTTTGAATGACTACCTCATCTCTGTACCTCACACAAGGTCCCTCAGTCGAGCAGTGAATTTCAAACACAGATTCAACCGCAAAGATCAGGGAGGTTTTCCAATGCCTTGCAAAGAAGGGCACCTATTGGTAGATGGGTCAAAATAAAAAAGTAGACACTGAATATCCTTTTGAGCATGGTGACATTATTAATTAAACTTTAGATGGTGTATCAATACACCCAGTCACTACAAAGATACAGGCGTCCTTCCTAACTCAGTTGCCGGAGAGGAAGGAAACCACTTAGGAATTTCACCATGAGGCCAATGGTGACTTTAAAACAGTTACAGAGTTTAATGGTTGTGATATCAGAACTTAGGATGGATCAACAACATTGTAGGTACTCCACAATGCTAACCTAATTGACAGAGTGAAAAGAAGGAAGCCTGTACAGAATAAAAATATTCCAAAACATGCTTCCTGTTTGCAACAAGGCACTAAAGTAATAATGCAAAGAATGTGGCAAACCAATTAACTTTTTGTCCTGAATACAAAGTGTTATGTTTGGGGCAAATCCAAAACAACACATTACTGAGTGCCACTCTCCATATTTTCAAGCATAGTGGTGGCTGCATCATGTTATGGGTATGCTTGAAAATAATAATGGGCAAATGTTGCACAACCCAGGTGTGGAAAGCTCTTAGACTTAACCAGAAAGACTCACAGCTGTAATCACTGCCAAAGGTGCTTCTACGAATGTTGATCATTATGGAGTATTGTGTGTAGATGGGTGAGAAAACAAATACATTTAACCCATTTTGAATTAGGGCTGTAACCTCAAATTTTGGAATAAGTCAAGGGGCATAAATACTTTCTGAAGGCACTGTAGCTTTTATTTAGGTTATTGTTAGTTCTCAGATTATATTGTTAAAAAATATATCGGTCCATTATCTTTTTCTACATACTTTATATTTGTTTTCAGTCGTTTTTAAGTTTACACTGAAAGTGTTTTTCCAGAGAAAAAAGGGTTTATATGGCAGAAAACCCCCTGACATCTATACAGAAAAACTATCATAAACAATCGCAGCTAGTTTAACACTGCCATGATGAGCTGAGCCTTGCTATTGGAAAACCACTACAGTGTCCAACTTTCGTCTGTCGCAGATGCACGTCCCTCGACTTCGCTCGCCAACTTTCATCTACAATCGGCTTCGTTAGGCTTAACTATACACACCCGCTGACTGGTTTCTTCATAAGACCTAGCCTAGTTGAGGCTCCTGAGGATAGAGCTGTGAAATGATGACCTACTCGCTGACCTACCAGCTGCTTGCATTCACTTTTTAACAAAATAAACACACAAATCAAATGTTTTAACCAAATGCAATGGGATATCAGGCGTATTTGTTAAACCGCTTTCGGAGTCTGATTTAATAATAGCGTGGCTAATTGTCATGTTAGCTTATTGAATGCTGGTTTGTTCCGAACGCAGGTGAAGTCTTTCAAAACTCAGATTTTTGGATGGTTTGCAGATCTTCGAATGCTAATGTGACCCTTGAATAAATGTGTTCTTGTGTAAAAAATGTGGCATTGGAATCATATACAGTTTGGTTTGGATTTGTCTGGTATTTGCACTGCTTTGTCTTGGTATTATATACAACCATAACAGTATCGGTGACAATGATGCAGTCATCACCTGCTAAAGGTATTGAGAAGATGGGATTAGTTTGACGAGAGGAAAGTGAGGAAAATAAGCATTATGTTTTGTCTTATTTTGTTGTTTTTAATTATTCAGGTCTGTTTTTAGGCTTTTCTAATTTTAATGTTTTTGAGTGGCTCCAATGGCCCTTTGAGGTGTCTGCCTAGGCCCAGAGCCTACTTGGCCTTGGGCAAAGCTTTGTGTCACAGCCTTTGAAAGTGGAACCCCAGACTATCGCCCTAGGCCAGGGTATCTTGGGCCAGGGTATCTTGGACCCGGTGCAAGGCAAGGCTTCAGGCCTGTATCTGTGTTAAACCTCCCAAAACATGGCGTCAATCCATGCAGGACAGGATGAAGAGTAGCCTAGTTTGTACGAAACACAAGGAAGTTACCCTTAGGTTACGAGAAGGCAATGTGTCCAGCAATGTACAGGTAACTGACAAAATTAAGGAAAGACTTGAGTATATGAGGGATATAAAGTATATTGAAAGCAGGTGTGGTGTATTGTCCTGGCAACATTTAGGTCCACTCAACCCCTTAGAGGGCAAGGTAAACGCCAATAAATACGCAGCCATTCTGAGTGATCACCTTCAACCTATGGTGAAGCATTTCTACCCTGATGGAGTGATCCCCGGGACCACCCATACACAAAAAAAATTAATTTATGCACGCATGACTGTAAGTCGCTTTGGATAAAAGCGTCTGCTAAATGGCATTATTATTATTATTATTATTATTATTATTATTATTATTATTATTATTATTATTATCTCTTCTAGGATGATAATGCCCACATCCACAGGACACGAGGTGTCACTGAATGGTTTGATGAGCGTGAAAACGATTTAAACCATATGCCATGGCTGTCTCAGTCAGCAGATCTCAACCCAATTGAACACTTATGGGAGATTCAGGAGTGGTGCCTGAGACTGCATTTTCCACCACCATCAACAAAACACAAAATTATGGAATTTCTCATGGAAGAAGGGTGTTGCATCCCTCCAATAGAGTTCCAGACACTTGTAGAAAATATGACGAGGCGCATTGAAGCTGTTCTGGCGGCTCGTGGTGGCCCAATGCATATTAAGACACTTTATGTTGGTGTTTCTTTTATTTTGGCACTTACCTGTATAAGCCTAATGCTGTAGTAGTGGCAGTGTCGGGTACTGCAAGGCTAGACAAATATGAAGTTGTTTGGTATTTATTTTGTGTGTAACACTTGTCATGCTCACTATGTGTACAGTCCCACCACTGTGGTTTAAAATTCAACAATTTTCTCTCTTTCCCTCCCTCTTTTTCCCTGCTCTTTTCTCCTGGCAGCTGAGGCTTCTCACCGGCTCAATTTGTTCTACCTCGCCAATGATGTAATTCAGAACTGTAAGAGGAGAAATGCCATCGTCTACCGTACTGCCTTCGCCGACGTGCTCCCTGAGGCCTTCCAGCTGGTCAAGTGAGTAAAACCACACACAGTTTTAGTTGAAGTGGCCCCTAGATGCTGATCATGGGTCGGTTTTGCATTTTCCCCACTAATGGTTAAGGTTAGAATTGGGGGAGAGGGAGCAGATCATAGATCTGTACCAGTGTTTCCTCTGGAAACACAGTGAATATAATGTAGGCCTACCTGTTAGGGTAACTTGGTGTCTGTACTTATCACAGAACCCACTTAATGTTGTCACTACTCTTTCTCAACTAAAAATGTAATCTGTCTCATCACAATTTTAGTTCTCCCCCAAAAATGATTTTGAGGTAGGGTGGGGTTTTACCCCAAGTTACTCTACAACTGACGTGTTACATTTAGCCCCACTCTCCCCTATGCACTCACAGCCAATTGCAGAGCTCCAGGTTTAAAATGGTGCAGTTCGAGGATATTTAGGAGTTGAGAAATAAAGTAGGAATGGAAAGCTGTTTTCCCTGCGACAGCAATAATTGTTGTGCATTGAATGTTTGTCAGAATGCCTGTTTCCCTCCCTATGGCAGTTGTAACTTGAATGCGTTTGGAATAATTTGTCTCGCATAGAACACACAACAACAAGCCAACTAGGTAAATAGATAAATCAGACTACCCCATAGTAGAATAGTTTTTCTATTCATTACTTGTTTTGTTTGCGGAGGAAAAGTAAATATGGTCTGTTCTAGTATCTTCAAAGTGCACCTCGGCAGAAATATAATTTCATGTTCCATATTTGTTGGGCGCAGCGCCACATTTTAAATGACTGCAGAGGAAACACTGATCCTGTACCTATGGGAAACATCAGCCCGGCGCAAACCACGCGGTCAGGGGCAGAGCTAACGTCTACAATGTTTTTGTTTATCCACAATACAGTCGATGTCTGTGTCCCAAATGGCATCCTATTCCCTTAATAGTACACTACTTTTACCCAGGGCCCATAGAGCTCTGGTCAAAAGTAGTGCACTATACACACTGTTTATTAGGGACACCACCCCGTTCACGAAAATGAATAGCTCCTACAGAAACCGTGAGTCACGTGGCCGTGGCTTTCTATATAAAGCAGGCAGACAAGCATTGAGGCATTCATTTACTGTTCGATTGAACGTTAGAACGTTACAATGGGCAAAACGAGTGATCTAAGTGACTTTGAGCGTGGTATGATTGTCGGTGCCAGGCGCGCAGGATACAGTATCTCAAACGGCCGCCCTCCTGGGCTTTTCGCGCACGACAGTGTCTTGGGTTTACCGAGAATGGTGTGACAAACAAAAAAACATCCAGTCAGCGGCAGTTCTGTGGGCAAAAACATTGTTGATGTGAGAAGTCGAAGGAGAATAGCAAGAATCGTGCACGCTAACAGGCGGGCCACAAACAGACAAATAACAGTGCAGTACAACAGAACGGCATCACGGAACGCACAACTCGTCGATCCTTGTCACAGATGAGCTATTGCAGCAGACGACCACACCGGGTTCCACTTCTATCAGCTAAAAACAAGAAGAAGCGGCTCCCGTGGGCACGCGATCACCAACACTGGACAATTGAGGAGTGGAAAAACATTGCCTGGTCCGGCGAATCCCAGTTGCTGTTGTGTCATGCAGATGGCAGAGTCAGGATTTGGCATAAGCAGCATGAGTCCATGGACCCATCCAGCCTGGTGTCATTGGTACAGGCTGGTGGCAGTGGTGTACTGTGGTGGGGAATGTTTTCCTGGCACACGTTAGGTCTCTTGATACCAATTGAGCAACGATTGAACGCCACAGCGTATCTCAACATTGTCGCTGACCAAACCCAATAGAGCATCTTTGGGATGAGATGGAACAGGCTGTTTGCAGCATGAGTGTACCACCGTTCAATCTGCCGCAACAGTATGATGCTATCTTTTCCGACACTTGTAGAATCCATTCCCCGGAGAATTCGGGCTGTTCTGGAGGCAAAGGGTGGTCCGACCCGGTACTAGATGGGTGTACCTACTACCTAATAAACTGACCACTGAGTAAATAGGAAAAAAGGTACCATTTGGGATGCAACCACTGTGTTGCTCGTTGTTGAAATAAGGGGAGTTTGATCTTCTGGTCAGGGCTACTCTGTCACTTTACACATCAGTGCAATGTCAGTGATGAACATTTCTGTCTCCTTCTGTCCTGCAGTAATGTTGGAGACTCTAAGGTGATGAAGTCAGTGGACAGGATATTAACCATCTGGGAGGAGAGGAGTGTATACACAGATGAGCTTCTAGCTGAGCTGAGGGCCAGTCTGGTCAAAGAGGAGTCACCTGCTGCTGTAGAGACACCTAAAGGTGAGTGAATCTGTGCCAACCATGTACCACCACCAGTAGAGTTCACTGTGATATACTGCATGTTTTAAATATCATGGGAAGTATCGTTTTCGAAATTGCACAAATGTCAACATTAATTAGGCATCATGTTTGTTGTACTTCACTTTTAATTGTATGGCATTTGAGCTGTGCAGTTCAATGCCTGTGTGTTGTGTTAAGAAATGACTAAGTTATGTAATTTCAGCTCCAGTCAACCCTAAGGCTGCTCTTCAATCTAAGATTGTAGCCGAATTTGTCGTAAGTGTCCACGACCCACTGTTTAGGATAGATGATATTTTCTGCTCTGAGTTTCTTATTTTATTTCTTATTTTTAAATCTCAATTGTGTATTCAGAACATTTCAACTGCATATCCTCTTGATAAATGACCAAAACATACCAAATTAACTAACTACTGTACAATGAGATCTGTAAATACTTAAAGTGAATGCTTGTACTACAAAGCTAGCATGTTGAGTTGAACTTGACCCTAACTATTGCCATGTCCTGTGGTGTGACTCTCTGACTGTGTCCTGTCATGCAGCCCCAGGCGTTCATCGATCACCTCTCTAAGCACCACAGCTCTGTGGAGGAGGTGGAGCTGAAGGAGAAACAGCTGGCAGCCATGAGGGTGGACGTCTGCAGCACCGAGGCCCTCAAGAGATTGAAAGGTAACAAGATACGTTTTTAAGTTTTTGTCTAACACACAAGCTCCTGCAAAGTTGTCCATGAGCATTGACCCTGTCAGTGTCCCAAATTGCACCCTATTCCCTATATAGTGCACACATCCTCCTGCAATGTTGTCAATGAGCATTGGCCCAGTAACTGGAAAAGCCATGAGGCATCTCTTACGGCTCTGAAAGAAAAAAAACCTTGAGCCCTGTCTGGCCCCTCTAGTCTAGGAGGAGATAACAGTTGTTTTTAGACTGACCAAGGTTGTGTGTTTGTCTTCTCTCTTATTTCTTTCTCCAAATCAACTACCCCTTCAGATAAGGCAGGAGGAAAGAGGCACTCCAAGGACTTTGAGGATGGCAGTGCGAAGCTAAAGGAGTTTGTTGCCTTCCTTGACCGGCAGATCAAAGGAGGGCCCCCTCTGTTGGATGCTCTTGGCAACGCAGACATTTTCTACGAGATGCAGTATAAGGAGGTCAAGATAGTCGCCAATGTGAGTAGCTGAATCAAATCAGATTGATTTATAAAGCCCTTTTTACATCAGCAGAAGTCTCATAGTGCTTATACAGAAACCCAGCCTAAAACACCAAACAGCAAGCAATGCAGATGTAGAAGCACAGTGGCTAGGAAAAACTCCCTAGAAAGGTAGGAACCTAGAGAAGATCCTGGCTCTGAGGGGTGGCCAGTCCTCTTCTGGCTGTGCCAGGTGGAGATTATAAGAGTACATGGCCATTTCGTGCAAATCCTTCTTCAAGATTTTCAGATGTTCATAGATGACCAGCAGGGTCAAATAATAATCACAGTGGTTGTAGAGGGTGCAACAGGTCAGCACCTCAGGAGTAAATGTCTGTTGGCTTTTCATAGCCGAAACGTTGAGAGAGGGAGGGAGAGGTCGAGAGAGGGGGGGAGAGAGAGAGCTTAAGTTCACACAGGACACCAGATAAGACAGGAGAATTTCACCAGATAGGACAGACTGACCCAAGCCCCCCGGTACAGAGACTATTGCAGCATAGACACTGGAGGCTGAGACGGGGGGGTGGGGACGGGGGGGGGGGGACACACACACACTGTGGCCCTGTCCGACAATACCCCCGGACAGGGCCAACCAGGCAGGGTATAACCCCACCCACTTTGCCCCACAACACTAGAGGGATATCACCAGACCACCAACTTATTACCTTGAGACAAGGCTGAGTATAGTCCACGAAGATCTCATCCACCGCATGAGCCCGAGGGGGCACAAAACAGGACAGGAAGATCGTCAGTGACTCAACCCACTCAAGTAAAGTATAGCAAAAAAAAGCCTGGCACGACGTGACGCATCCCTCCTAGGGACGACATGGAAGAGCACGAGTAAGCTAGTGACTCAGTCCCCATAATAGGGTCAGAGGCAGAGAATCCCAGTGAAGAGAGGGGAGCCGGCCAGGCAGAGACAGCAAGGGTGGTTCATCACTCCAGTGCCTTGCCGTTCACCTTCGCACCCCTGGGCCAGACTACACTCAATCATAGGACATACTGAAGAGATGAGTCTTCTGTAAAGACTTAAAGGTCGAGACGGAGTCTGTCTGTCTCTCTCACATGGATAGGCAGACCGTTCCATAAAAAGCTGTTTGCTTAGAAATTCTAGGGACAATAAGGAGGCCTGTGTCTTGTGACCGTAGCATTAGTGTAGGTATTTACTGCAGGACCAAATCGGAGAGATGGGTAGCAGCAAGTCCATGTAAAGCTTTGTAGGTTAGCAGTAAAACCTTGAAATTAGCCCAAGCCTTCACAGGAAGCCAGTGTAGAGAGGCTAGCACTGGAGTAATATGATCAAATACTTTGGTTCTAATCAAGATTCTAGCAGCCGTATTTAGCACTAACTGAAGTTTATTTAGTGCTTTATCTGGGTAGCCGGAGAGTAGAGCATTGCAGTAGTCTAATCTAGAAGTGACAAAAGCATGGATTAGCTTTTCTGCATCATTTTTGGACAACAAGTTCCTGATTTTTGCAGTATTACAAAGATGGGGAAAAAAGCTGCCCGTATTCTTGATATGTTCGTCAAAAGAGAGATCATGGTCCAGAGTAACGTCGAGGTCCTTCACAGTTTTATTTGAGACTACTGTCCAACCATCAAGATTAATTGTCAGATCTCTTTGTTTCTTGGGACCTAGAACTAGCGTCTCTGTTTTGTCTGAGTTTGAAAGTAAAACATTTGCCGCCATCCACTTCCTTATGTCTGAAACACAGGCTTCCAGGTAGGCAATTTTGGGGCTTCACCATGTTTCATTGAAATGTACTAGATGGTGTCCTTAATGCCTTTGCATCTGTTGTTGTGAAAGGTTGAAAGCGGTTCTCTTTGGTTTTAGTGGGGGGCTTTGGTAGTAAGACTTGAGTTGCATATATTTTTTGTGTTTGATTATTTATTTATTTTACTTCTCCTTAAGGCCTACAAGACGTTTGCCAACCGGGTGTCCCACCTCAAGCGTAAGCTGGACGGCCTCAAAGCCACCTTACCAGACCTGGATGAGTCGCCCATCCCCTCGCCCTCGATGGACGCCCCCTCCCCGAATGGCTCAGAGTCCCCGTTCCATGGCCTGGCCGACCCAGACTCCGACCTGGATGGCCTGGCCATGGATGATGAGGCAGACATCACTCTGGGGGAAGCACCCAGCCCCCTGTCCTCCCCTGGTGGCTCCCCCAAGCAGGGCTTCACTGTCGGGGAGTCAGACAACCGCGACGTGGAGGACATGGAGCTCTCGGATGAGGAGGCAGAGAGCGTCGGTATCATAGGTGAGGGGAGTGACATGCGATGCGGAGCATAGATGGGGTGCAGGGGGTTAAAGGACAGGATCTATACTGAACACAAATATAAACGCAACATGCAACAATTTGAAAGATTTTACTGAGTTACAGTTCATAGAAGGAAATCAGTCAATTAAAATAAATAAATTAGGCCCTAATCTTTTTTTGCGTATGGAACATTTCTGGCATCTTTTATTTCAGCTCATGGAACAAAACTTTACTTGTTGGGTTTATATTTTTGTTCAGTATAGTACTTTTATGTGAGTCATTTATACCTGTAAGGCTCTATTGAATTGCAACTTAGCTGTTTCGATTGAACATTTCCTCTGTTTTCAGTTGAGGAGCGAGTTGAAAGTCCCATCCCATCTCCAGTCCCCATTCCTATGTCTGTTGTCACACAGCCGCCACTGGCCACAGAGGCAAAGCCTGTTCCACAGGCCACACCCTCCCCAGCTCTCGTGACCCCATTGACCCCTACAACCAACCTATCGGGCAACCTCGCCAATGTGGACCTGGGTAAAATTAGCTCTATTCTCAGCAGCATCACCTCTGTCATGAAGAAACCAGGTGAGAAACTTCAGCTATTGTAACATCATAAAGGCACTACATGCAGGCAGCCACTGTTGCATCATCAACACTTTTATTCTGATGGCACATCATAAAGGCACCATTACATCATCAGCACTGTTATTCTGATGTTGCATCATAAAGGAGGTAGTCCAGGGTTGGGGTCAATTCAGAATTTAATTCAAATCAACCCTTTGATTTAAAATTCCAGTATGAATAAGGCACCCCACTGGAAGCAGAATTGTAATTTAATTTGAATTAGAAGTAGAATTGAATTCAAAGAAATTCAAAGAAATTCAACTGAGACATGAAACATGAAACTCTCATTCCTTTGACAAATCTTTTACCAAAAGCATCTCACTTAATACTTAAGTACAGATTCCATTTCAAATATTAGCTTGATTATAACTCATAGATGTCAAACAGTATTTTTGTCATGAGATATTAGGTTGTTCTGGAGTGTTTGATTTGATCTAATGCATTCTTGGGACATAAAAAAAAAAAAAAAAAAAGATATTTAATAACATCTAAGTGAAATATGAATAATTGAAGACAACCTACAAAATGATTTCAGAATATTTCTTGTTTTTGGAGAATGAGATAAAGCTGCATTATTTAACTTTTTGGGCGACCCCACCAAATTCACAGAGATGTTAGTTATAGATCTGTCATTCTCATTGAAAGCAAGTCTAAGAAGCGCTAGATCTGTTCAATCTGCGCTATTTCTATGCTTTCCGTTCTTAAGATACATTTTTGCGTATTTTACTTTCGGAAATGTACACCAGCTTCAAACAGCTAACAAAATACAGTATTTTTGGTTATTTAAAATATATTTCACAGTGGATTAAATGGTACAATGATTCTCTACATTATATGTGCTTGTTTTGTCACATAAACTGACATTAGGTGAATTATTAGACTTTTTAGCAACCTGGGAATGGCGGAAAGATATCTGCATATTGCACCTTTTTAAAAATGAAATGTTTCAACCATATGTTATACATAGTATTGGTTACCATACATTATGTATAGTGATTTATGTACACATAAATAATAGCCATTTAAATAGCCATTACACCTTTGAATTTCATTGAATTTAATTCAAATTGTTTTTTGTGGGGTGGTAATTTCAAATTTAATACAATAATTGGAATTAAAGGGCAATTCAGATCCCAACCCTGAGGCAGTTGGCCACATCAACACTGTTATTCTTATGGCACTTGTAGCCTAGTATTGTTCCTTTAGCTACTGTTACATCCTCAAAACATCCTGTTGATTGTGACACAACCATAACATGCTTATAGGTAGTTATCAATAAACCATCACAATAAGGTGCAGCGCGTTCGATTTGCCTGCTGGGTGGCAAGGAGATCCCCAGCTCCGCTAAAACCATTGACAACTGCGTGTTAAATAAATGTTAACTATTTGGTTATAATATCATCACCTCTTAAAGAGCATAGTCAGAACTACAAATGTCAGATTATTCCATGCAAAACAATTGCACACATTTAGCTCTATCATCACAGTTCTACAGCAAGTAACTGCATGCTTTTCATGATCAGTAAACATCAATTGATCATGAGGGTAGCCTCATGATATCTCTCAATATTGGCCACCATTAATTGGATATTTGAGTGATATAAAATAAGTGAACTATAGCCTTCAGTCACGTCTTTGGCCACGTTCGGGTGGGTCAAACAATGCAGTCTAATTTATATTTGTTGTTTTAAAGTCCTCAGCTGCATGGTTGTAGAATCTCAGGGTCGTTACTTTATTCTAAAACCTTTCACTGTTGTTTCACCGGTCCAGTTTGTTTTGGGGGGGGGGATCCTGAGTCAAAGCGCCAAAATAACAGAAGCCATGCCAATGAGGCGTATTTGTTATACGGTGCCTTCGGAAAGTATTCAAACCCCTTGACTTTATCCACATTTTGTTACATTACAGCCTTATTCTAAAATGGATTAAATAAATACAAATCCTCAGCAATCTACACACAATACCCCATAATGACAAAGTGAAAACAGGTTTTCAGAAATTTTTGCAAATGTACATAAGTATTCAGACCCTTTGCTATGACACTCAAAATTGACCTCAGGTGCATTCTGTTTCCATTGATCATCCTTGAGATGTTTCTACAACTTGATTGGAGTCCACCTGTGGTCAATTCAATTGATTGGACATGATTTGGAAAGGCACACACCTGTCTATATAAGGTCCCACAGTTGACCGTGCATGTCAGAGCAAAAACCAAGCCATGAGGTTGAAGGAATTGTCCGTAGAGCTCCGAGACAGGATTGTGTCGAGGCACAGATCTGGGGAAGGGTACCAAAAAATGTCTGCAGCATTGAAGGTCCCCAAGAACACAGTGGCCTCCATCATTCTTAAATGAAATATGTTTGGAACCACCAAGACTCTTCCTAGAGCTGGCCAAACTGAGCAATCGGGGGAGAAGGGCCTTGGTCAGGGAGGTGACCAAGAACCTGATGGTCACTCTGACAGAGCTCCAGAGTTCCTCTGTGGAGATGGGAGAACCTTGCAGAAGAACAACAATCTCTGCAGCACACCACCAGTCAGGCATTTATGGTAGAGTGGCCAGACGGAAGCCACTCCTCAGTAAAAGGCACATGACAGCCCGCTTGGAGTTTGCCAAAAGGCACCTAAAGACTCTGACCATGAGAAACAAGATTCTCTGGTCTGATGAAACCAAGATTGAACTCTTTGGCCTGAATGCCAAGCGTCACGTCTGGAGGAAATCTGACACCCTCCCTATGGTGAAGCATGGTGGTGGCAGCATCATGCTGTGGGATGTTTTTCAGTGGAAGGGACTGGGAGACTAGCCAGGATCGAGGCAAAGATGAATGGAGCAAAGTACAGCGAGATCCTTGATGATAACCTGCTCGAGAGCGCTCAGGACCTCAGACTGGGGCAAAGGTTCACCTTCCAACAGGACAATGACCCTAAGCACACAGCCAAGACAACGCAGGAGTGGCTTCGGGACAAGTCTTTGAATGTCCTTGAGTGGCCCAGCCAGAGCCCGGACTTGAACACGATCGAACATCTCTGGGGAGACCTGAAAATAGCTGTGCAGCAACGCTCCCCATCCAACCTGACAGAGCTTGAGAGGATCTGCAGAGAAGAATGGCTGAAACTCCCCAAATACATGTGCCAAGCTTACATTTACATTTTAGTCATTTAGCAGACGCTCTTATCCAGAGCGACTTACAGTTAGTGAATACATATATATATATATATATATATATTATTTTTTTTATACTGGCCCCCGGTGGGAATCGAACCCACACCCCTGGCGTTGCAAACGCCATGCTCTATCAACTGAGCTACATCCCTGCCGGCCATTCCCTCCCGTACCCTGGACGACGCTGGGCCAATTGTGCGCCGCCCATGAGTCTCCCGGTCGCGGCCGGCTGCGACAGAGCCTGGATTCGAACCAGGATCTCTAGTGGCACAGTTAGCACTGCGATGCAGTGCCTTAGACCACTGCACCACTCAGGAGACAGCTTGTAGCATCATACCCAAGAAGAATCGATGCTGTAATCGCTGCCAAAGGTCCTTCAACAAAGTACTGAGTAAAGGGTCTGTTAATGTAAATGTGATATTTCTGTTTTTTATTTTATAAATTAGCAAACATTTCTAAAAACCTGTTTTTGCTTGGTCATTATGGGGTATTGTGTGTAGATTGATGAGGGGGGGAAACAATTTAATACATTTTTGAATAAGGCTGTAAAGTAACAAAATGTGGAAAAAGTCAAGGGGTCTGAATACTTTCTGAAGGCACTGTAGTGGTGCGCGGGTCAGCTGTTTGTTGACCCACACCCGCGCACAATTGCCCAACTATATGTGAAAATCTGAGGCCAGCACCCAACCCTAAGGGGAAAATATAGAAAATGGGCTATAGGCTACAGTCAAAGACTGCAGAACGATTTGTTTTGACAGGGTGCCGGATTGTTTTGCCTGATATGTTAGATATGTTTCTGCTTATAATTTCTGAGATTTTGGTAGGTTATTTGTTAGTAAACTTGTCTATAATTAGATACATGTAGCTTCTCTTTTGTCATTATATGTTGCCCTAGAAGACTAAATTAACCATTGCTCAACAGAATGTAATAGATCGATAGAATGAATGCTTCAATCTAGTTGACATCGGTAAGGTTTTCTGTAGTCTTTCCCGGAGCAAAGACGTTTTGGGACTGGGGAGAAAATACAATAAAGCAACAACAAATTGATAAGATTTACTTTGCAAAATCAGTTTGACCGGTTGTAAGGAAAAAGAAAGCTGTAAAAACGACCCAACTTGTTTCTGATAAGATTTCAGTTTGGCTTTGATGCATATTTTATGGGGTGGAATACTATCAGCTTTTATGATGAAGACTGCACCGCTACAGATCGTATTTAACTGAGGATTGCATTCTCTCAAGATGCAGAAAGAAATCAAAATTCTCCACTCCTGTCCAAATCTTGCCTACATTTGGTGTATAATTTTACTGCAAGAAATGCTTAAATCTGCATGAGTTATTATTAAGGCTATAGCCCTATTTGCACGGGACTAGTATTACTAGAGAACGTTGGTTATGTATTTATTACCCCAGAATGTCCGTTATTCTAGAGGACGATTCGGACGGGATACGTTCTTTCCAAACTGCCCCCAGTAATTATTTCTCTTTTTTATTTCTCTTTTTCTTTATTGACTGTTATGACGGAAGCCTGGAGTTTTTTTTATTCTAGGTGTGAAGATGTTTCAAGTCCAGGCGATAACAGGCTACACTGATAACTCGTGCGTGGTTCCCGAGTTTCTAAAACATATCAAACCATCTTTGGTATAGTGTCGCCATAATATTTGAATTGAGGAGGTGTGATCATAATCATTAGGATATTTTAGTGATCCGCTGTAGAAGACATCCTAAATGCCCCCCAGCCTTCAGATGTGAGCTAAACAGCTAACTTGGACTTGATATGCGTTTTTAGGCTATGGATGAGAAAGTGAACTTTTTCCAAACGTTGAGCTCAGTTGTATGCTGCTTTGCGATCTATTAACAGCAAGGGTTGCATTAAATAGGCGCAATATTTTTTTAGTGATTCATTTGGCGATGTTAAATTCATTCAGCACAAAACGTATAAACGAAAGCATTCACCGTGAAAGTTGATACATGTATACCCTTCATATATTGGCTATGCGCAGAACTTCGTTCAATTGAACGAATCAGTTACTGTTTTCTGGCTCAAACCGCATGCATCACCGGTAAAACGCAGACATTTTTCTCAAAACACAGAGATGTCGATTTGCACGGGACTCGTATTATCAGAGGACTTTAGAGTTTGCCAAAAAGCAGTTGGTTATTCTGGTTAGTCAATGTCCAGATTTTAGTTTCCATTTAACCCATCTAAATAGTAGGCTACAGTTTCCTTGACATGCATAGGCCTATTTGAAGTCCCGTCTTTTGGCGGTCAAATTTGTATAGCGCCTCACGATCATCACACATAACATAGTTAGTTTTACCACTTCACCAAATCTTTTCCAAACATTACTTTTCTGGTCCCCCCCCATCCATTTATTTTCAACTCTGCTTTCGCAGCTTTTGTCTTATTGAATTAAACTTTGACAATGTCATTTCTGCCTCCAAGAATTTATGTTAACTTTTTCTGCCAGTTCCCAAAAGCATTATAAGGCGATTGTCTGTGTAGGGATATAACCGCGGGACTGAGTCAACCCGTGCATCACTAATGTACGGTATGAATATAAATATTAAGCCTTTGAATGGAACCACATCACATGTTTTCCAACTAAGGTCCACCTATGTTTTTTTTATTGACATTTGATTGGTAAAAACAGTAGGATAAATACACATGTAGGTAGAGTCAATTCTCGTTTTTTTCTCCTTTAGTTTTAAGAGCTTTGTCACAATGGACCAGACGGTCATTTGCATTAAATTCATTGAAAATGGTAGTCTCAACTTTCTTTGCTTTCTGTAATTTTATGATCTGCATTTTGATTGTATGATTTAAAGGTTTGAAGTTGCAAAACAAAATTAACAAAAAATAGAATCACATAATGTAGTTAGCCTACCCGCCTTGTATCTGCAAGCAGTTGGCTATAGTGAACATGCCAAGAGCCTGGTCAGTCTATGTCATGGGAAGAGCTTACACTCAGTGAATGGTGAGCAATATGTTTGGACCATGGAATCGCAAAAAAATCACAGCATTCAATCACAATACATATAGAATCGTGAGAATCGCAATGCATATCGCATCGGCACATAAGGATGATAATATTGTGAGTTCCCTGGCAATTCCCAGCCCTATTAGCCAAAATGACAACTTGAACACTGTTATTCTCATAGAGATCCTATAGGTCGTTATCAATAAAAAGCCACAAGGTGCAGAGCGTTCGATTTGCCTGCAAGGAGACCCCCAGCTCCGCTAAAACCATTGACAACCTTGTGCCATTTTCAAGGGATTGTTAAATACATCACCTCTTGAAGAGCATAGTCAGAACTATACATTTCTTATTATTCCATGCAAAACAATTGCGCACATTTAGCTCTATCATCAGTTATACAGCAAGTAATTGCATGCTTTTCATGATCAGTAAACATCAATTGATCATGTAATTTCAGATACGTGAGGGTTAGACCTATTTACTATTACATTGTTAAATAACATTTGAAATCACAGCACAGCTGAGCATAAATTGAAATAATTTTCAAATAATTCGCTTTTTTATTTTACTGGACTGATGGTACCTGTATCTGATGGTCATGGTGCTTTCAAGACAACTGGGAGCTCGGGAAAACAATGAGGTCTAATCACAACATCAGTGATCTTCAGGTCGGAAAGTCGCAGCTCTAGAAAGTTGCCCGAGTTTCCCACTTGGAATTCCGAATTGGATGCCCGTTCCAAATTATTTTTCCCAGTTGGATCTCGTTTTCCCCCCTGAGTTCCCAGTTGCCTTGAATGCACTGAAGTCGGAAGTCTGCGATTTCTGAGTTCCAAGTACCCAGTTGTTTTGAGCACGGCATTAGTCTCAGCAGAGGGAGTGAGAGAGCAGCAGAGGGTCCGCCTCTCACGGTCCCTGATTTCTCCTTCCTTGCCTCCGGTGAGACTGACCAGAGAGAGGGGACACTGTCTTCCGCCTGATAGCGAAACTCCTGGCGCACAGCATCTGCACAAATTCATGTTGTTCATATGACCAGACAAAGTGAAATATTCCTCTATTTAAATAGACACGACGAGCTGCTAATAATAATAAAAACACAGGGCTATCGATACACTTGGCTACTCATTCATTGCAGCTGCAGCGCAAGTGGAAGTAGGGAGAAGCGCGTTTTATGTTTTGAGTAAAAAGTGTTGACAGTGCTGAATAAACTTAGACATGAACTCACTCATAACAGCAGCTCTTTGCTGTATTCTTTGACAGTCTCTCTCTGGTCATGGTTTTAATGAGTTAAAATCTGTCTTTTCCTCTCCTAGGAGTGAGTCCAGGTGGTTCTTTGGCCTCCCCCTCCTCTCCAGCCAAGACCACCCTTCCTGCCCCAGTAGCCCCCCAGGTAGCCATCCCTCTGGCCAGCATCCTGTCCAAAGTGGACATGACTTCTGAGGCGCTCCTCAGTGCACTCTCCAAAACCCAGGGACAGGCCGGCGGGCTACAGGGTGAGAAACCGTGTGGTAGAGCAAATGTTAAAACTCATCTATTTCCCATGTGTTTTTTCTTTTGCTCATTAAGAAAAACAAGATTTCAGTCTTGGTGGTGTGGTTCGATGTGAGTGTGTTATCGTACCCTGTCAGTTACTGATGTTTGTCGCTCTTGAGACACTGTAGCAACAACAGCTATTAGCCCACCACTTCTTCGAAATAGTCAGAAGAAAGAAATGTGTAATTAAGTTGGACTTTTTTGCAGGGGAGGTTTTAGTCACACAATTTTACATCTAGCTAAGGTTTTTGGTGTTTTGCTATTTCTGAAGTAATTTTTTTTGAATGAAAACTAGTAGAGTGTACATCAGACTATCGAGTCTGCTGCTACTGTCTATTACCAGAGTATTGGTCTGTCTGGCACTGTTTCATAGTGAATCATGTTACAAAACAGGGTGTGGCGGGACACAAGATGCTTGCGAATGGGTTCAGAATCTTCGAATTTTGAATAATAATGGCAGTTACAGTTTAAGTCGGAAGTTTACATACACTTAGGTTGGAGTCATTAAAACTTGTTTTTCAACCACTCCACAAATTTCTCGTTAACAAACTATAGTTTTGGCAAGTCGGTGAGGGCATCTACTTTGTGCATGACACAAGTAATTTTTCCAACAATTGTTTACAGACAGATCATTTCACTTATAATTCACTGTATCACAATTCCAGTGGGTCCGAAGTTTACATACACTAAGTTGACTGTGCCTTTAAACAGCTTGGAAAATTCCAGAAAAGGATGTCATGGCTTTAGAAGCTTCTGATAGGCTAACTAACATCATTTGAGTCAAACTCAGTGCCTCTTTGCTTGACATCATGGGAAAATTTTAAATAAATCAGCTAAATATTGTAGACCTCCACAAGTCTGGTTCATCCTTGGGAGAAATGTCCAAATGCCTGAAGGTACCACGTTCATCTGTACAAACAATAGTATGCAAGTATAAACACCATGGGACCACGCAGCCGTCATACCACTCAGGAAGTTGACGCATTCTTGCTCCTTGAGATTTTTGAGATGAACATACTTTGGTGCGAAAAGTGCAAATCAATCCCAGAACAACAGCAAAGGACCTTGTGAAGGTACTGGAGGAAACAGGTACAAAAGTATCTATATCCACAGTAAAAAGAGTCCTATATCGACATAACCTGAAAGGCCGCTCAGCAAGGAAGAAGCCACTGCTCCAAAACCGCCATAAAAAAGCCAGACTATGGTTTGCAACTGCACATGGGGACAAATATTGTATTTTTTGGAGAAATGTCCTCTGGTCTGATGAAACAAAAATAGAACTGTTTGGCCATAATGACCATCGTTATGTTTGGAGGAAAAAGGGGGACGCTTGCAAGCCGAAGAACACCATCCCAACTGTGAAGCACGGGGGTGGCAGCATCATGCAGTGGGGGTGCTTTGCTGCAGGAGGGACTGGTGCACTTCACAAAATAGATGGCATCATGAGGAAGGAAATATGTGGATATATTGAAGCAACATCTCAAGACATCAGTCAGGAAGTTAAAGCTTGGTCACAAATGGGTCTTCCAAATGGACAATGACCCCAAGCATACTTCCAAAGTTGTGGCAAAATGGCTTAAGGACAACAAAGTCAAGGTATTGGAGTGGCCATCACAAAGCCCTGACCTCAATCCTATAGAAAATGTGTGGGCAGAACTGAAAAAGCGTGTGCGAGCAAGGAGGCCTACAAACCTGACACTGATACACCAGCTCTGTCAGGAGGAATGGGCAAAAATTCACCCAACTTATTGTGGGAAGCTTGTGGAAGACTACCCAAAATGTTTGACCCAAGTGAAACAATTTAAAGGCAATGCTACCAAATACTAATTGAGTGTATGTAAACTTCTGACCCACTGGGAATGTGATGAAAGAAATAAAAGCTTAAATCAATCAATCTCTCTACAATTATTCTGACATTTCACATTCTTAAAATAAAGTGGTGATCTAGACATTTTTACAAGGATTAAATGTCAGGAATTGTGAAAAACTGAGTTTAAATGTAGTTGGCTAAGTTGTATGTAAACTTCCGACTAAAACTGTACATCTCTACTCTGTTATCACTTATTTTATTGTACTGTGCGAGAATCATTCAGATTTGTACAATTGAGGTCGCCGTTCATAGTTGTCATGTATTTTAACACATTTCCTTTTCTCTTTTTTCTGTCTCCTTCTTAGGTCTCTCCACTCTTCTGAACAGCCCAGCGGGAAACCTCTCCTCAAACTCCCCCAGTACAGGCAAGCTCCCTCCCTCCACCCCTACAGTACCCTCTCGAGGCCTTCCTCTCGCCGCCTCTATGCTCGAGCTAACACCATCAGCCCCTGCAGTGGGGAACACCACCACCGTCCCTCAAGCAGTGTCCCTTCCCCAGCCCACACTGCCTCTAGCCATCGGCCCTCATAGAGGGCTGGTCCTGGAGCAGGAGAAGGAGAAGGAAGAAAAGCCTTCCGCTTCCAGCCTGGAGTCCAAGATCCACAGCTTTCTGCAGGGTAACCCTGGCTTTAATGCCTTTAACCTGGGCTTGACTAGCGAGGCCGTCCAAGCGGGAGGCCGTGACCTCAGCCCCTTAGCGGGGACAGAGACCCAGGAGGGCACCCCGGTACGGGATGAGGCCGGAGGAGGCACCCCCACCCTGGATGAGATCATGGACACTCCGGGGGAAGCAGAGCCCTTCCTGGCCAAGCAAGGTCAGGTCTCCACTGGGGGAGTTCCTAAACCAACAGATGGCAACCTGTCTCTGTCTCCAACTGCCTGCCACAACCAAGCCTGGCAGGGTCCCAACAACACTCAAGTCCATTTAGGACTACATCCAGGTGCTCCGAATGGGCAGGGGTACCCCCAGTTGCCTTATGAAGGGAAGGAAGAGATGCATGGAATAGCTCCTTCCCTCAGAGAGTCTGGATTGGCCCATTACCAGCCCATCACAACACAGGTGTCAGCCCCAACCCTCGGGGAGGGGTTACCCAGTAACACACCAGGAGGGCCTCAGGCAAGACCAAGCGCCAGTGTGAGTGAAGGAGGATGGTATGGTAATCCCTACCCAGAGGGACAGGCCCTGCATCCCAGCAACCACAACATGGCTGCCTCAGGGGCTGGAGATGGTAAAACCCCCATGTCAGGACCGTATGCATACCAGGGGGAGGGGCAGACGCAACCCTATCAAACAAAGGATCCTCATGCTCTGCCTTTCCAACAGGGGGCCAACCCCTCAAGCTTCCTCACCAGCCCTCTGCCCCCCATTCCCCAGCTGCCCCCACCGCCCTTTCCTGGGATACCAGCCCCACCACAGGACTACCAGGGCCCGCCCGCGTCTGTGATGGTGGGTGGTTTGATGGTGGAGCGACCCTCACCAAACCCTGAGATGGAGGATGACAGGGCGGGCATTAGTGCACTGGGCGGTCCGGGGATTATCAGTGACCCCTATCACCCTGATGACTTTCGCCGCCACCCAGATGTCCTTCATCGCCACGCCGATGACCCATATCACCCTGACGATTTCCGTCGTCACCCCGATGACCTCCACCGCTATTCCGATGATCTACGCCGTCAGCCTGACAACCTGCATCACCTTGACAACTTCCGTCACCATCCCGACGACCTACGTCACCCAGACGATCGCTATTATCACCCAGACGATTTCCAAAATCTACCTGTAGACGATCCTCATTATCCTTATAGAGTCAGAGAGCGCCTCACTCCCCCTCCCTCTCCCTCAGAAGACCCTTATTACTATAACTACCCCCCGCGCAGCCCTTCCCCTCCATATGGTCACAGACGCCCCCTTCCCCCTCACATGAACCTGCACCACCATGACCACATGCCCCTGCCTCCCCATCCTCCACACAGTCTTCTCCGCCCAGCTCAACATCCACACCTGAGAGGCCTCCCACGGGGTCCCCCACGCCCGCCTCTCCGTAGCCCCATGCTCAGGGGGAAACGGCCTGGGCCTCCTTTCGGTGGACACCCCAGAGGTGGGGGACCAGGTGGTCCGTTCTTTCCCCCCAAAAGACCACACCTACCTCCGCGGTTCTGACTTGTAAACTGACTTAGGTCACATCAAATGACAGTGCGTAGTCTACCGAAATGTCATTGTGGCAGTGGGCGTGACACATGGAGGGTAGAAGAGGAGGAGGAGGAGAAGAGATGAGTTGGGAAAGAAGTTGAATACTTTAGTTGTACTTTTAAACCAAGAAGGGGAGCGGCGAAGAGGCCTGAGAGGAAGAGGGGGATAGATGAGTACAATTTGAAGGAGAAGTGGAGGAGTAAATTGGGAGGATCTTAAGGAATCGAACGAAGAGCGGATGAGTGAAGACATGGATACGTGGATCTGGAGAAAGAGGGAATGGAGAGGTCGGCCTGAACAACGGAGACGCAGCAGAATAAAAGAAAATAAGAGGTGGATATATAATTCAGTTTGATATTTGTTCGAATATAAAACATTGCATTAAATCTCTAATTCATATTCCCCTCTGAATTAGCTCTAAGCATGCATATATAATTGTGTGCATGCGTTAGCGTGAGTGAGTTAAATCTAAAACTACTGTTCATTATTTAAACTGCATTTTAAGACGTTATTCTTTTTGCAAAGTAGGCCTAAGTGTCAGAGAAGAGTAGTTACTGCTATGTTTCTCTTCTTGTAATTTTTCAATTAAAAGTTGAGGCCCGCTTTCCCATTGCAAAGACCTAACCATAATCCCGACAGCTGAGATAATTGCTCCTATGTAGTCTCTTTTTGTTTACACTACATTTTATGTAAGTAGACACAAAGAGAATGTAAACTTAATATTATCTTTCCTTCAACAATATCCGTTTGTGTAGCTGGGGGGGAAATGATGATAAATTCCATAAATGTTATGACTTTGAATATTATTTATATTTGTTAAGCAACACTTTGTTCAGTGTACATAGTGCGAATGATTGAACCCTTTACTGGCTGTGTCATCACTTCTCATTTCTCAGAGAAGGATGACACCAGCACAGGGGAAATAGAGTAAAACAGGGCTTTGGGTGGCGGGGGGGGGGGGGGGGGTATTTTTGTTGTCCCTAAACGACAAAGAAGACAAGAAGTTCATTTTGGAGTTGGATCAAGAAACTCCACTTTCCGCCTTCAACTACCTTTTACTTGTACTGACTTTAATAAAAACCTGAGTTTGAAAACAGCAGTGGGAGGTTACTTACTTTATTTCTCAGCCTTGGGAAATGCCTCTTGCCTGAGATGTTTGCCTTTAATTCTTCCACCACGGTTCCTTCCCATCATCACCACTTCCACAATAACGTTGATGCCCATCGGGGTTGTGGTCAATTCAAGATGTAAACTGATGTAACAATAAAAATAAAAATGCATTATTGAGTATTTATTTTTAATGACTTCTCTATGTTGAAAGGGAGACGGTATATGTTACAAAAATATTTATTTTGGGATTTTAAATTCAAATCAGTTCCTGGATTCACTGACTTCTATTCTAATTGACCCCAACCCTGATGCCCATGCACTAAACGAAAATCTAATAGAGAAATGTAAGTGTGCAGTCATCTGGTGTGCTGTAGGAAGCAAATAACCTAAGTGATTCACATCTGTTGCCATGCAACGTGCTGCGTAATTAATTTACTTAGAATGGGAGGTTTAGAAAATAGATTTGATGAGCTCGTGGCCATGTATGAGTTCAGCCAACAAGTTCATACCTTGATCAGATTAGAAACACTTGGGGCCTACATCTTATGACGCAAGACTTAGCAAGTGTGTTAGAGGCATATTATTACATGTCAACAGTAAACAACAAAGGAATAAAACGCGTTTATTCAACTTTTGTCAGACCTGGCATGTTTTTGCAAGTCATTTACTCTGTATGCAGGAACTTTATTTCAGACTGGGCCTGTATTGATAAAGCGTCTCAGAGTAGGTGTGCTGATCTAGGATCAGTTTGGCCTTTTTAGTTAAAAATCAATAAGACTACATGGACAGGTGGGGAACTGATCCTAGATCAGCACTCCTACTCAGATAAGCTTTATGAATACTGGCACAGGTCAATACGATTTTGCTAACCGTTTCGTCAGATCGATAATGACTCAGTTCTGAAGTACTGGTTTTAATGGGGGAGGACCATAGCCCGCTGGTGCCTGATACAAAATGGTTGAGAAACACTGTATTCTGTGACCACAGTGCAAACCTCCACTGACCTGTAACTAAGATATATATATATATATATATATATATATATATATATATATATATATATATATATATATATATATATAGTTATAGTGCCCTCTGGAATTATTGGGACAGTGAAGAATTTATTCTTTTTTCTCAGTTCTCCAGCACTTTGTGTTTGAAAATATACAATGACTATGAGGTTAAAGTGCAGACTGTCAGCTTTAATTCTTTATCCATATCAGGTGAACCATTTAGGAATTACAGCACATTTTGTACCTAGTCCCCCCATTTTAGGGGACCAAAAGTATTGGGACAAATCCACACATATGTGTGTGTTAAAGTAGTCCTAAGTTTGGTATTTGGTCCCTTATTCCTAGCACGCAATGATTACATCAAGCTTGTGACCCTACAAACTTGTTGGATGCATTTGTTGTTTGTTTTGGTGGTTACTGATTATTTTCTGCCCAATAGGAATGAATGGTAAATAATGTATTGTGTCATTTTGGAGTCACATTTATTATAATGAATATAATGTTTCTAAACACTTCTACATTCATGTGGACACTACCATGATTACGGATAGTTAGATGCACAAATATCATCCAACAAGTTTGTAGAGTCACAAGCTCGGTGTAATCATTGCTTGATAGGAATATGGGGCCAAATACTAAACTTTTGACTACTTTAATACACAAGTGAATTTGTCCCAATACTTTTGGTGCCCTAAAATGGGGGAGGGACTATGTACAAAAAAGTGCTGTAATTTCTAAATGGTTCACCCGATATGGATGAAACCTCAAATGAAAGCTGACGGTATGCACTTTAACCTCATAGTCATTGTTTGATTTCAAATCCAAACTTTTGGAGTATAGAGCTGAAGAAGGGAAAAATGCTAATTACGGAGGGCAATGTAAAACAAGTGATACAGAATGTTAGTACAAGATTGGTTAGATTGACTGGTTGATGGGCTTTTAGATCAGGGGCCTTATTCATAAAGCATCTCAGAGTAGGAGTGCAGATTTAGGATCAGTTTTGCCCTTTTGATCACAATAAATAAGATTTTATGGACAGTTTACCTGATTCTAGATCAGCACTCCTACTCTGAGACGCTTAATACATATGGAACCAGGTTTAATTTAATTGAATGGTCTCATTCAATTTAGACAGTAAAAGTGCATCCAAAAACACCTGGATCTGCTGTTGATTGACTTTTGTGAACAATAACTTATGTTAAATAATGAATGGTTAGTGAAGGACCTTAATTAAGGTTACCTGAACATTAGGACTAGACTATGCCCTGCCTTCGGTCAAAGTTTTCGCTGCCAGTGCTCACTATTAAGAGATAAAGCCCATCTCCCATAGCCTGCATCACTATGCTTCCTTAAATACTTTCAACCTACAGTTGTGGAAAAACAGTACTTAAAGGCCTGGGGTCATATGTATCAAGCTACCCAGAGAAGGAGTGCTTAGAATCAGTTTAGATTACAGGAATGGACCTGGGGCAACTGATCCTAGATTAGCACCACTACTCTTAACACGATTTATGAATACAGGCCCAGATCCTCAGTAATGTTGCGGTTGCCTTATGCTTTACTAAAAAGATGAGCTTTGATCAATTTTGTAATTTAAATTAATTGCAGCCAGTTCTGCAGTGCTAGTTTGTTTAAATTCTGGCCTTGCCCATGACTTCAATAGAATCCATTATCTATGTGATTCTTTACAATACTAGAATACCAAAATAAACGAAACACTTAAATGCTGTCAGAGAAAATATTTCTCAGAGTAGGTTTTGAATATGTAATGAGGGAACCTGTGGTGTAAAAAGTACTCAATTGTCATACTTGAGTAAAAGTAAAGATACCTTAATAGAAAATGACTCAAGTAAAAGTGAGTCACCCAGTAAAATACTACTTGAGTAAAAGTCTAAAAGTATTTGGTTTTAAATATACTTATGTATCAAAAGTAAATGTAATTGCTAAAATATACTTAAGTATCAAAAGTAAAAGTATAAATCATTTCAAATGTTTTATATTAAACAAACCAGACAGCACCATTCTTGTTTTTTTAATTTACGGATAGCCAGGGGCACACTCAATCACTCAGATATAATTTACAAATGAAGCATGTGTCTAGTGAGTCTGCCAGACCAGAGGCAGTAGGGAAGACCAGGGATGTTCTCTTGATAAGTGTGTGAATTTTTACATATTGCAAAATGCATCCCCGTGTGTCGACCCTGACCACTATGTGAAAACGGTTTTCTCCGTTCGCTATAAGTAAAAATGGGGATCACATAGGCCTATATAAAAATAGAATCAAAACTTTTGTGTAGGGTAATATTAGACATACTGTAGATGTGCATGTTTCATGCATGCATACATATAAACGTGGGCAATGTTCAGTACTCGGGCGCTAGATGTCAGTAAAGGCTCTCATAGGCATTTGTCTCGCAGTAGGAACATACGTTAATCGAAAGAACAGTCGGATAACATCTGAGCAATTTGAGACACGTAGGCTAGTGTTTAATTGGAAAAGTAAAGTTAAACAAAGTGCACCGCGTTTGTTACTTTGTATCGCACGGTCATGGTTTACGTGTAGCGTAATGTTGCCTATTCATAAGTGCCTCCTCGCCTAACGAGAGCATGGGACGTTTCCCCGCTCATCGTTAGAGCCCCGCACTGTGATTTGATGGTCTTGACGGATGTTTTAAATTGTGGACAGTCAGTGCGCGTTTTCGAACTGTGCAGTGTGCAGGCCAGGGGCGTGTTCAGCAGGACGCAACGTTTTGTAACGTTCAGATAAAAATATGCTATGTTGGACAGACATGCTTAAAATCCAACATGTAGAATAAGGAATCAAGACGGCCCTATTCATTGAATTTATATCTGCAACGTTCAAAAACGTTTTGCAACTGAACGTGGCCCAGGTGCTGGCACATTCAGGAAAGGGATTGACCAACAAAGATGAGAAATATAGGATACATGTAGGTACAGGATAATATCCGACAAAATAGTGACGTTGTTACGAATGTTGAATGGAAAACTATAGAGTTAACATGGAGTAAAGAAATTGATTTTTGAATATTATAGCCACACTAAGTGCATACCATCAGATAACAAAAATGTTAACAAAGGAGCAAATACATCCCTCTGACGTTTTCATGTGCAAATAGCACTTAATTTAGTCCTTTATCTGTGTAGTGCTCAAGGAAGGGCATTCCTTGAGAACAACATTACTTTTAAAAAAAACATGACTTGCAGCTTTAGCCTACCAAGGTGTCATTTGACAGAAAAACTAAACAATAGAGTAGGTAGCCCTACAGATTGTTAAAAGGTGTAACCCTTGTGGGATTTTGTTTTCATAAAACAACTGTGAAGTGATGTCTATCTCTGATCTGAGCATAGCCCTTACTAGGATCATGGTTAGCCTAATTTATTGTGAATTGTTCTATTTTAGGTGCTTTATTGATTGATTTCCCTCACCTTATCTTACCTTGTTCTAATACCGATGTTCTTTCCATCCTTCCTTTCTCCTGTTAATAGTAAACTGGATGACTCTGATATGGTGATCTGTGTAAGGAGTGGGAAACTGCTGGCGTGAGTGACAATACAACAAGGACTGATATTATCTCCTCAACGTCTACTAACCACGGTAAGAAAACGTTTAACACCGCCGAAGAAGTACTGAATACAGGGCAGTTTCTCTGACACAGATTAATCCTTGTCATTGTCTAAAATGTAATTGCTAATTTGCTACGTGAGGCTTATTTTATCTAATATAAGTTTAGTAATGGTTAGGTTGTTATGAATGCACCGATATAAGTGGACGCACGTGGCATTTCCGCAACTTTGAAAAAAAGTACTTGTTGTCATAGAGATAGGTGACTTATCATGGACATAACCCGTTTTAACATGGACACTGCTCTCACCGTTTTAACATGGACACCGCCATTGAGGGCTTCCACCATTCCATCATGGGTGGGGATTCCTTTGAGTTAGGAGCAATCAGCCAATAAAGAAGATGAAAATGGACTACTTTAAAATTGAGAGAGCCTCAATGGCACTGCCCATGCTGTCACAGACTCTATAATGGCACAGATACAAAGATGAGTCCTCTATCTAGCTCTATGGCCTGTTCACACTTATCTCAATTTTCATTGGCTAGAATGATCACACCTGATCTCGCCTGTCTTCCATCTTTGAGGACATGTATTTCCATTGTTGGAGTGGTCAATCTACTATCTTGTCAATATAATATACAATCTTTGGTTGTATCGGCCCGATGTCTTGGCAATAAAGAGATTGTGTTTGTAACTCTTATTGGGATAGTCCCCACCATGCGCGACACACATCGACCACATATTTTAATGGTGTAGGCGTTATTTTCAGTGAAGCCATTGGCTGGCTAGCTAGCTAGCTATGTTCTTTGCTAATTAGCTAGCTGGAAGTTGTGTTTTTGCTAGCACACTGGCACAAGTGGGGTCATGCCTCCAGTTGGAGCCACGCCTCGCGGTTGTGTGATTTGCTAAAGTTAAATGATGACAAATACTTTACTCAATAAGTCACTCCCATAGAATTCTATGATCACTCACACTAGGCCTATTTTGCATCGTTGACATCCCAGGTTCATATGCGCTGTGCGCAATAGCCTGGGAACGACGTTACTATAAAGGGAATAGGGTGCCATTGGGGATGCAACCTAATGCATACCTACTAAGCTCAGCTGGCCAACTGGCTGTATTGTTATGACTGATTTGCTGTGTGTAACTTTGTCCTGTCTGTCTTTGAATGTCTCTTGAGAAGAGAGGTGAGGGCTGTGAGAGTGAGGAGGAGAACCAGAGGGGAGCAGAGTGGTTCAGAGATGGCTGAAGGACATGCCACTGCCACTTAGTCAGGGACAGTAAGTACAGCCAGAATGAATGAGCATGGTGCTGCAAACATGAGGCCAGACAGGTTAATCTCTCTGTTTGACACACACACACAGTATTCTACTTTGGAAGATTCTGTACATTTAAACCATGTATTTTACTTAACAGATTTGATTAAAATAAAAGTAATAACATGTTTGCTTCTCTTTACACAATAAAATATTTATATTGTCATAACAAACAGATTTTATTGCTCAGTTACTTGTATCTTTTGCATTAACTTTAGACTGACATCATATCCATTGTTGATGCATTATGAGGCACAGTGAGTGACAGTCTAGATACTCCCAACTGTGTTGATAGGATCATCATATTAATATTTGTTGGATAGATTACATTTTTACAGAAAGTGTTCTATCTTGAAAATGTCACCGCTGACATGCACACTTTTTTGGACTGTATTAACAGCAGACAAATTAGCAAAATATGTTTTCCCGGAGTAAAATATCCCTTTGTGATTTTAATATAATGATAAACTACAATCTGTAGTTCTCTCAGGCTTCTCTGTCATCAACAGTGAAATAATAAAATTTGACAAAGAGATAATAATTATGTGCATAAGCCATTGTAGAAATGGTTGCCAGATGTCGTTGGTCAGCTAGCCTAACCAGTGCTTGACTTGGACTGAAATAGGTTCCGGTACTCATTTTGGATGCTGATACTATTTATATTTAGGTGCAGGAGCGCCACAATACTTTTGAGATAATATTTTAAAAGAGGAACAGGAGCTCAAGCAGTAGAAAATGTGAGGTGCAGGTGAGCCCCTGCCCAAGTCAAGCACTGAACCTAACTTTTTTCTTTTCTTCTTGTCAATTGAAATGCACCATCTGAAATAATCACCTGCCAATTTCAACAATTTTCTAAATGTCAGCCATTGTATTGCATCATCAAGATGAGTAAGATCAACTCGAAAGGTAGTCTTAAGTTCTTAGTCCTTTTATCCATGCATGTGGATAAGCTCGCATCTCCTACAAGACCATGGTGCTTGCCTACGGAGCTGTGAGGGGAACGGCACCTCCTTACCTTCAGGCTCTGATCCTACACCCAAACGAGGGCACTACGTTCATCCACCTCTGGCCTGTTAGCCCTCCTACCTCTACGGAAGCACAGTTCCTGCTCAGCCCAGTCAAAGCTATTCGCTGCTCTGGCACCCCAATGGTGGAACAAGCTCCCCCACGACGCCAGGACAGCGGAGTCACTGACCACCTTCCGGAGACACTTGAAACCCTACCTCTTTAAGGAATACCTGGAATAGTATAAAAGTAATCCTTCTACCCCCCCCCCCCCCCCCCCCATAAAAAAAAAGTGGTTGTCCCATTGGCTATCATAAGTTGAATGCACCAATTTGTAAGTCACTCTGGATAAGAGCGTCTGCTAAATGATGTAAATATAATGTGCGCTGGGATGTAAGTGGGGATAGGATTTAAAGACGGATGGTAGTCTCACCATTCGAGGCACATTTAAGAAGTGGTTTGGGTTGGGTACAATATTGAGTAGAAAAAAAAGATGAACACCACTGGCTATTTAAAACTGGGATAAACCCAATGTGGTTTTCGGCAAGAGCTCATACAAGTATGTTATTCATTGTGAGAACGTTGTACAGTGTATGTACGGTACGTGATTATTTGAAGTGCCATGATTAGGTATGTGAATGCTGTCATGTGGGCCTATTGTTTACATGTTCACTCCTTGAGGGTAAAGTGGGTGTGTGCAGCAGAACCATTCAAATGACTTATTATGAATTATGTCAAATCTAAACAGATATTTTGACAGGAAAAAAAATAGGCAACTGAAAACAATCGGAGTTTCAGTCAGCGACCGCATCTACAACAATTTCAGCACCGCGGTCAGCTCTCACTACTAGAACAAAAGACAGATTTGCGTCCCTTGATGTCAGGCACCGTCAACAAGTGCATGGCTAAAATGAAGGACGAAAACATGTCAAAACCAAAAATCCCTCTCATGCTGTTATAATATATCATTTACGTCCAATAAATGTTAAATATTATAAGATTAAGTCATCCATTTTGTGTCATTATGTTGTCTTATACTGCACAGTCAAAAAAAAATCAGAGAATGGAGGAAGTGTCTTCTTATGACCAGTCCTGGTAGAATTCTTAGACGCTTCCTACCGGCAGACATCACGGCTTGTTACAACCCAAGGGAACATATAGATCGACAGGGAGGGAGACACCGGTTTACGACGTCAAAGGCAACGGAGTACACAGACTGAGAGCCAGCCAACGCGGGAGCGAGCGGCAGCAATAGTCTACAATTTCCTGTGTTGGATCATAGGGAGCCTATCATTATAACCACAAACCGCTTGAATAATCCCAGAGAGGTTGTCATTCTTTTTTATAAAATCCTAATTTGTGTGTATTTAGAGTGGGAAAGCGGGTTTGTACACAAATAACACATACAACTACGAGAAAAAGCATCACACGCTCATGTTTATGGATAAAGGACGTCGTCGCTCGGATTTGTTAGGTGCGCTCTTTTGGGGGTAACTTGTCAAGGCACGGATTCAGAGGGGTCCTACATTACAGACAAATGAATTGAACAGGAGAATAGACAAAACCGAAAATAAACCATATTTGACAAGGGACAGAGGAGAAAGGGGGATTCAGCTCTCAACGAACCGTGAGACGAAGGAAAGAGGATCAAAGAGGAATAGTAGGTGACGATTTTGTTCTCTTAACGTGTGTAAAATTATGTTCAAGTCATTGTTATCGTCACCCCATCTTGACAAAGGGACCAAACAGGCACAACGTGACAGTATAGCCTATGGGTTTACACCAGCAGTTTAGACCCACCGAGGGTTGAACAAAGGAGTACTTCGATGTCTGTTTATTTACATTAATGTACAAATTTAAACAACGATGTATAAAGCAGTCAGAACCTAATAATAGGTTAATATCAGCTCATCAATTTCCTTTTTTTTGGGGGGGGGGGGGAGATTACAAACAATTACAGGCAAAACCATTGCAATTCATTATAATTGCAACATTCCAAGATTTCTGCATGGCTATACCAACTGGTGACCGTGATGTTTTTGTTAGTCAGCCAACACCAGATAGCTCCTGCTCTTCAAAAAATGTAAAGAAAATGAAAGTTGATATACATTGAAGAATGCATTAATAGTTTAGACTAGATCTCTTCTTCTCATCTGTTCCTCTATCGTTGTGTTCTAAACCCCTTCCCTCTCTCTCCTCGTCTCCAGGACCGAGTTGAAACCTTTGCCCGTCATCTCCACCTCGTCCGAAGATCTATAGGTCCTCCCCGCTCCCTCTGACCACCTTTCCGACCACCTTTCCAGTGTCCATCCTCGGTGCGCAGCGGGTTGCTCCCACACCGTCTCAATGAAGGAGGCCGACGCAATCAAGCTCTTCATCGGGCAGATACCCCGAAATCTTGAGGAGAAGGACTTGAAACCGATCTTCGAACAGTTCGGGAAAATCTATGAGTTGACGGTGATAAAGGACAAATACACGGGGATGCACAAAGGTAAGGGGGGAGGAAACATCACTGTATAGGCTTTAGAGCGCACATAAATACTTAGTTACAATACATAGTCATGCTGTCGGGCATTAGACATTGTTTAGGCTATATGACTGAGCATATTTATGTAACAGGTGCATGGCCACTGGCAGATAAGGCTTTTCTGGCCAGCCTACAAAATACATGTATTTCATCAGTGCACCTCCCAGCTTGTCTTTGTGGTTGTACCAGCTGAAGCAATGGGTACATCTCAAATGGCATCCTATTCCGTATGTAGTGCACTACTTTTGTCCAGGGCCCATAGGGCTCTGGTTAAAAGTAGTGTTCTATAGAGGGAATAGAGTGTCATTGTAGAAAATATGTCACTTCTCCCTTCCATAGGCATATTAGCCTATATACATTTATTTTCTACAACAGAATATTAAAGTCACAGTGCAACCTGCTGCAATTTCTCTCAGCCCATTGTTGCATCACGGTATACTAATACTTCCCACATATAGACCTAGTATTATGCACCTATCTTTGTTGAATGGTAAAATAAACCCTCAATCCTCCCACCAGGCTGTGCCTTCCTAACATACTGCGAACGAGAGTCTGCCCTCAAAGCCCAGAATGCACTGCACGAGCAGAAGACGCTACCAGGGGTGAGTGCTCTCTCTGACGTTCAACAGCACATACTGAGTCCCAGTTCCCTATGTTGTGCACTATTGGCTAGAGCCTTATGGGCCCTGGTCAAAATTAGTGCACTAGTACTACATAGGAAAATCTGGTCCCATTTGGGACGCAACCACTCCCATGAGCACAAGGTGGAACAAGTGGCAGTCTACCTCACTGCACTACACACACAGACACAACAGTGTGCCACAGAAAAAATAACTCACTCTGACATGTGAGCTCCACTTCCCTTTGAGTTGATTTGCCCAAGAGGAAGGTCAGAGGCGGCTTTCCTATATTTCCCCATACATGACGCATCCAGTCAGCGCCTTAGTCATCCTCCTACAACGTCTTGGTGGGTTGGGAGTGACGGCTTAGGGGCATGCCGGAGTTACTTTGCCCTCAAAGTTAGAGCAGCTTGATTAGCATAACCAGGCAGCAGGTGTGCTGCCAAGTGACATTTATGGAGCAGAATGTGATGTGACAGGCGTTCTCTCTCTGCAGTCTCTATAGAAACAGACTAGTATTGCATTCCGAATGCTATTGCCTACAGTGCCTTCAGAAAGTATTTATACCTCTTGACTTATGCCACATTTAGTTGTTACAGCCTGCATTCAAAATGCACATCTGGATTTGGGGATTTTCTCCCATTCTTTCTTGCAGATTTTCTCATGCTCTTAAGTTAGATGAGGAGCGGCAGTGAACAGCAATCTTCAAGTCTTTCCACAGATTTTCAATGGGATTCAAGTCTGGTCTTTGGCTGGGCCACTCAATGACTTTCACATTATTGTTCTGAAGCCATTCCAGCTTTGCTTTGGCTATATGCTTGGGGTCATTGTCCTGTTGGAACGTAAATCTTCGCCCTAGTCTAAGGTCGTTTGCACTCTCTGAAGCGGGTTCTCATCAAGGATTTGCCTGTATTTGGCTCCATTCATTGTTCCCTCTATCCTTACCAGTCTCCCAGTCCCTGCTGCTGAAAAGCATCCCCATAGCATGATGCTGCCACCACCTTGCTTCACGGTAGGGATGGTGTTAGACAGGTGATGAGCTCTGTCTGGTTTTCTCCAGACATAGCGCTTTGCATTCAGACCAAAGTGTTAAATGTTTGTCTCATCAGACCACATAATCATTTGCCTTTTGGTAAACTCCAGGTGTGCTGTCGTGCCTTTTTCTAAGGAGTGCCATCCATCTGGCCACTCTCCCATAAAGCCCAGATTGCTAAAGTGCTGTAGAGACTGTTGTCCTTCTGGCAGGTTCTCCCGTCTCAGCCAAGGAACTCTGTAGTTCTGTCAGAGTGGTTATTGGGTTCTTGGTCACCTCCCTGACCAAGGTCCTTCTTGCCCGGTTGCTCAGTTTGGTTGGACTGCCAGCTCTAGGCAGTCTGGTTAGTTCCATATTTTTGTCATTTACCAATGATGGAGACCACTGTGCTCTTGGAAATTGTTTTATACCCTTCCCCAGATATATGCCTCATCACAATTCTATCTCGGAGAGCTATGGACAGTTCCTTGGACTGTATGGTATAGTTTCTGCTCTGACATGAACTGTCCAAACAATTGAATTGGCCACAGGTGGACTCCAATCAAGTTGTAGTGACATCTCAAGGATGTTCAAAGGAAATTGTATGCACCTGAGCTCAAATTGGAGTGTCATAGCAAAGGGGTGTGAATACTTATTTAAATGAGAGATTTCTGTATTTAATTTGAAATAAATTAGCAAACATTTCTAAAAACATGTTTTCACCTTGTCATTATGGGATATTGTGTGTAGATGGGTGAGAAAAAAAATCAATGTAATCCATTTTGAATTCAGGCTGTAAAACAACAAAATGTGTATGGTGTATGAATACTTTCTGTAGGCACTGTATATAGTGCACTACTTTTGACCAGGGCCCATAGGGTTCTGGTCAAAAGTTGTGCACTATATAGGGAATAGAGGGCACCATTTGGGACTCTAAATAGGCTATATGCAACACGGCTAGGAATTATTATTGGACAAGCCTGCTTTCTTCCTTCACTCTGCCTCCTCTCAATATTGCCCTCTTCTTTTTATTAAGGTTTACAGAGTTGTATTCTTTGTTGGGTTTTATTACCAGTATTCCCATTTTAAGATAGTAGTAGGCCAAATAAAAGTTTATTTGTCATACGCACAGGACACAGCGTAGTGATAACGGTACAATGAAATGCTTACTCGCAAGCTGAGACAGTGAGGGAGTATGGATTTTAGTAGGGGCGTTTGGGAGCCAGAGAGGTAGAGTTAGCACTAGTAGCAATATACTGTAAATCCTATTATTAGCATGACAGTAGTCTGGCCTTCATGACCTCTCAGAGGGGATCAGCAGGCAGGTTCCCCGTCGCTAAACCCTGTCTCCCCAGTGACTCCCTTCCCAGACCTCCTCACCTAAGCCTTGTACAACCGTCCGAGAACAATCTCCCCCTCGTGTCCCCCATCCCAACCCCCGCAATGATGAAAACCACCTTATTAGCTACACACTGACTACCACCCCCTGGACAAGTAGTACCCCACCCCCACTACCAGCTGTGGTGTAATCATTATCTAATAGCACCTGCACTGCCAGAGAATAATTAACTTCACCATCCCCTTGTCGGGGACGCTATAAAGAAATAACATGAAAGTAATTGTAAGATACATATACACCAATGTGCTTCTGAATACAGAAAGCTGAAGCATGTCATTATCTCTCTCCTTGTGCATTTATATTCAACATCCCTCTGTCTCTGGTGAGCTATATGCTGCCTGCCATGGTGGAAAATGTTAGCGCTTTTAATTGTCCTCACAAAACTCAAACTACGGCCAAAAAGTATATATAGAAGGAGAGGAAAAAGAAAGTGGAGGGAGGGCAGGATGAACAGATGGTCTGATCTGAGTGGCACCTGGCCTTGTGTTTAATTTCAGGTGAGAGACAGTCCGTCTCACCGACATGGAGGCTGAGGATAGTGTCAAAACACATACGGAGGAAGAGAAAGGTTGTGGACAGGGAGGGAAAAAGACACAAAAAGGAGAATCTGCTGCTGCTGTTCTCTCTCTTTCTCCTCCCCCAGTCTTGTACTCATGTCCTCTTGTCTCCTCTGTCTCTCCATCTCCCCGCTGCTATCTCTTGCTGTCTGAATTGCCATCCCATTGTGTCTGGTCAGCTTCTCTACTACAGCTGCTGGAGACGGTGAAACTCTGGGCAGATAAACATGACTTCACAGACACGACATGGACCAACTCACAAATTGAATATAAAAAGAATATAACCTATATATCGCCTTTCCTCTATCCCCCCTTTATCTGAGTTTTAGATCCAGATCATATGTGCTTTCACAATGGTCATCCCCACTGGTAAGGGTCAAATGCTTGTTTCAGTGCTTTATTATGATAATGTATCACTGCTTCACTGAAATCAGAACCAGACATTGCCCTTCATTAGCAAGAAATTACCAGGTGACGATGGATTTAGTAAAGTCTGCCTGTGAATGATATTCCAATATTTTAGAACCAATTTTGAATAATGAAATGTACATAGGTTTCATTTTTTTGTGCAGATTGCTGGGGCATGTCTCCAGAGATGGAATGAGTGTGTATGTAAGACACAGTGAGATTGTACATGTGTGAGTAGGATGTAAGCTGTATGTTTGTGTGTGTGTGTGTGTAGTGGGGGAGGGCAGGTGTTCAGACTGACATGGTTTGCTGAAGGGGGGATGGAGTGTGTATGCCAGGGAAGAAAACATCCAGAGATCTGGAATGGAGTTGGAGATTTTTAGATCTTCATGAAGGGAAAAACAACGTACACACTGCTCTTGTCAGTATCAATAGTTTATTCAGCTTTGTCATAGCTTTTTTTAAAAAAAGATCTTCATAAAGAAAAGACGCTCTCCCTAAAAAATATTTTGTTGGAACATCTGACTAAGCTTGACATTTTACTCAGCCATGAGTCAGACAGATGCATTATTTTGTGAATAGTCTGAAAATGAATTCATTTGTATGACTAACAATTGAGCATACACACAGTGCGTATATATACAGTATGCCTGTGGGGGTAGCCTATTTGTTCTGTGTGCTATGTGTCCATGTGTGGGAAGCACAAAAAGCGTTGAGTAGTCTGAGCAGGGATGATTATTATAATGAGTGCATATCTGAGCACACGTGTCTGATTGATCGATTTAAAGTGTGTGTGTACATTTGCATATAATTATGGGCTGATATCAATGTGTGCAAGTCAAGGGATGGTACAGATCTCGTGCACACTCACCTCGCTGTAGAAAGGCTCAACAGCTGTCACTTGGAGACTGTAGTGATGAATGTAGAATAGATTCAATTTATGAGGAGGATAAATGGGTGTGAATTGAAGAGAAATTGGATGAATGGCGGGGGGTGGGGAAGGGGGTAAGAAATTAATGAAAGTTTGACATAATGAGCAGCGGGTAGCGGTGGGGGCGGGGCAGTGGGGGTTGTGGGACGAGGGTGCATTGAGGCAGTACGTTTATCAGCTTAAATACAGACATCTGTTACAGAGAAAGATCGTGTTTTTTTCGGGGGATGTTGGTACAAGTGTGTGGAGTGGAAAGGGGCTCTTATGATAAAACTCATCAGGCTATGTGAACTCAGGCACACAGAGCAGGGCCAGCGTTTAATCTGATGGAAATGCATCTATATATATATTGCACTTTGGTGGAATTAAACTGACAAAAAATAATAATAATAGGATACAGCGCTATGAAAACATAAGTCCAGCTCCCACAAGTTGTTTTTTACCCCTGTACAATAAAGAATATGGACAAACATAACATATGGTTAACATATACACTACCGGTCAAAAGTTTTAGAACACCTACTCATTCAAGGGTTTTTCTTGATTTTTACTATTTTCTACATTATAGAATAATAGTGAAGACATCAAAACTATGAAATAACACATATGGAATCATGTAGTAACCAGAAAAGTGTTAAACAAATGAAAATATATTTGAGATTCTTCAAATAG